AATCATTCATTTCTCGTAACCGAATCATTCTAGTACATTTCGTCACGGGTACCGGTACATTCGGATCGATCATTTCAGGCTCCAGTACCCTACACTAAAAACAATTCATTCATATTAATCGGGATTCGGTTGGTTTTCGACTCGTTCACAATTCACACCAATCTCGAGTTAAAAGGTTCCGTCAATTGTTTGTGATTGGTTGTACCGGTACATTCAAAAACAGATGAATGAACCATCAATACTTTAAGTGTACCAGCTCCAACGAACGAATAATTCATGATTGACACATGTCTACTGTGAGGCATTCCATCTTAGTCCTCCGAGGTGACAACAAATCGATAGCCTGTTTAAAGTCCGTTCAGCTCGTTTGCTATTCTTAATTGAATTTAGAAAATCTTAAGTCGCTAAATACGAGTTCACTTCGAAAACATTTACAAACATGTAAATGCAAGATAGTACCATACGATATTGCGACTGAGGGCTGGCATATGCCTTAGCATTCTAGTCATATACGATTATTTGTTAATACTCTTACAATGGGAGCACTCATCCCAAACTGACATTTTTTTTAGAGTTTAGACATCAGATGCCGACAAACGAGCACACAGCCCACCTGACGGTAAGTGTAAGCTGTAGCCCAGACATATACACCTATCCTCAATTAAGAATCAAAATGTAGATGCTGTGCCACCTAAGGACTAAGATGGAACACTGTTTCCAGTAAAAAGGCTCTACGGCTCTCTACACTCTCTAAACGAAACACAGCGGCATTGTGCTGCTATTTCACGATGGTATTCTGTGAAAGCCTGGTTCTTCCCCGCTCGAGTCGACACATTCGTGCTACCACAACATAATTGTAGCTATGCTATATAAATTTTGTGCAACATATAGTCTTAGGTAAGTAAAATAAAACGACAAAGTAACAATTTTTTCATTTTTTTATACTTTTCCATTACTTAATCCAACGTTATATCAATAGTATACTATACACTATAAATACAAAATAATAACTCCAAATTTTATCAAGAAATTACTGCATTGCCATGGTATTTTTAACAGTTTAAAAAAACTTAACATATTAATTTAAAAACGTTAAAATTTAACCACTGCATTAAATGTTACTTCAAAAAAGAAATATGATTATAGGATTGCAAAAATTAGAATAGTGTTGGTTTACAAAACTTTTAATCAGGAAAGCATCCGAAACCATGACAATACAGTAGAAAGGAACGAGGATACCATATAAAAGCTTGGAGTAGCCCAAAACAAATTAAAAAAAAAACAGGATATAGATTTCACGCCAATAGGTGAATACAGTTCCCAAGTGGATTTACTGATTCCAATATCAAACTATTTTCGAGCAATCTATACGAATTACAATTCAAACAATTTTCTCTGATGCACTGCTTTTAATTCATCATTTTTTTCTGTTCAGAAAGAAGACAATAGTTGTGATATTTTATATTTGGTGTTGTAAGTTAGAAAAATCGTAAATACCGATTTAATTTTTGTGGAAGCCAAAGAAGTCGATATCGCCAGCAAGGGTCTTTAATGATATTATAAATAAGTTAAGTTATAAGTAAGAGTTTCGCGAATTGTTACACATACTATATTTTAATTAAAGAATATAAATTATTATAGCTGTGAAAAGTAAAATGTACAGAGTATGTGTTAATTTATAGTATCAATACAAATAATAATTTCTAGCTTTTTTTTAGCCTGTATTTCTTTCTTTTTATATTACAATTATAATTCTGTTGATTTTATTATGTTTACAATTTCAAGTAAAATCCTTTGACCTCCACAACAACTCAAGAGACAGTATATGATATATAAAACATATAGAAACATATAAATATATATTGTATATGTATATATTTGCTGTTACTGCTGATTCGAGTGCGAGGCGGCCGCATGGTCGCGGTGATCTTTCCAATGTCTTTCTACGAATTTCCGTATGTAATTGTAAGGTTTTGAGTCCTGCTCGGCTAAGACATTCTCTACCTAAAATAAAATTGTTTAATTATTAAATTTCTAACGCTAATGAATCAGCCGTGTGTTTTAATAGAAACGAGGGTATAATAGACAATACAGAAGGGAGAAGAGAGAGATTGATGGATCTCCCACTTAATATTGCAAAAATCCATAAAATTAAGTTTCATACAAATTGTAACACCCTATTTCACCCTTTTAGGGGTTAAATTATCAAAATCCCTTCTAAATCTTGTTATAAAACCTCATCAGTCAACTTTGCCCCATGGGAGTCACTAGTGTCGACTTCGACCGCACCTGCGTGTATCGTCCCGAAGTAATAATGCGTGCCGAAGCTTCCTACGTTGTGACACTAAAAAGTTATCGCGATAAAATCCGTGGTCATATTAGTGACTTCGATATTTTGCATGATCTATCGTGCAATAATCCTAGCAAATCCTAGCAAAATAGATGGCCGAAATCATTTTCAAACTTCTAACAATGGACGACGAATTTTTTTACTTCTACATGTGTGCTAATAATTACATAATGCATTTATTAAAATCTTAAAAAGAAGAAATCAATAATCTAAAGGAATTCCAGTACCATTTCATCACTTTACTCCATTTTTACATAGTCACCTGCATGCGGCTGAACTGATCGAAAACAACGGCCAAAATGAACAACGCTAGTATGACGCAGGGCGCCGTGAGATTTTTTCGTGTACTTGACCCATAGCATACCATATAGGTACCCCATTCTACGTGTAGAATTATTGACAGAATGCTCTTAACTACGTAGCCTTTACTTCTGCAGTACAGCGAGCGAACCTACGTGCCAATATGTTGGCCCGAACAGACAACGCCCTACAATCCCTACCATATCGTCTGAAAACGTCTCAGTGACCCAGCAACCCAGATATTTGAACTGGGTCGTTTTTGAGGACACTACAAATTTTTAGATGACAATGTATCTGCATTCTATGGGAAATCAAAATGTTCGGCCACGCACTCACTTACCACAACGTGGTACTTTACTTCTGGGCATGTAACCACACTTGCATATTTCTGTCCCCAAATAGCAGGTGTTCCAATCTGTAAGGTAGTAGAGCCAGTATAATTACACGCAGTGAGGTAAACATGAGTCAATCATTCATTTCTCGTAACCGAATCATTCTATTACATTTCGTCACGGGTACCGGTACATTCGGATCGATCATTTCAGGCTCCAGTACCATACACTAAAAACAATTCATTCATATTATTCGGGATTCGGTCGGTTTTCGACTCATTCACAATTCATAACAATCTCGAGTTAAAAAGGGTTCCGTCAATTGTTTGTGATTGGTTGTACCGGAACATTAAAAACAGATGAACTATCAATACTTTAAGTGTACCAGCTCCAACGAACGAATAATTCATGATTGACACACGTCTACAGTGAGGCATTCCATCTTAGTCCTCCGAGGTGACAAATCGATAGCCTGTTTAAAATCGGTTCAGCTCGTTTACCATTCTTAATTGAATTTAAAAAACCTTAAGTCGCTAAATGCGAGTTCACTCCGAAAACATTTACAAACATGTAAATGCAAGATAGTACCACACGATATTGCGACTAAGGGCTGGCATATGCCTTAGCATTCTAGTCATATACGATTATTTGTTAACACTCTTACAATGGGAGCACTCATCCCAAACTGACATTTTTTTTAGAGTTTAGAGATCAGATGCCGACAAACGAGCACACAGCCCACCTGACGGTAAGTGTGAGCTGTAGCCCAGACATATACACCTATCCTCAATTAAGAATCAAAATGTAGATGCTGTGCCACCTAAGCACTAAGATGGAACACTGTTTCCAGTAAAAAGGCTCTACGGCTCTCTACACTCTCTAAACGAAACACAGCGGCATTGTGCTGCTATTTCACCATGGTATTCTGTGAAAGCCTGGTTCTTCCCCGCTCGAGTCGACACATTCGTGCTACCACAACATAAATTACAGGGTAGCTATGCTATATAAATTTTGTGCAACATATAGTCTTAGGTAAGTAAAATAAAACGACAAAGTAACAATTTTTTCATTTTTTTATACTTTTCCATTACTTAATCCAACGTTATATAAATAGTATACTATACACTATAAATACAAAATAATAACTCCAAATTTTATCAAGAAATTACTGCATTGCCATGGTATTTAATTAACAGTTTAAAAAAACTTAACATATTAATTTAAAAACGTTAAAATTTAACTACAGCATTAAATGTTACTTCAAAAAAGAAATATGATTATAGGATTGCAAAAATTAGAATAGTGTTGTTTTACAAAACTTTTAATCAGGAAAGCATCCGAAACCATGACAATACAGTATAAAGGAACGAGGATACCATATAAAAGCTTGGAGTAGCCCAAAACAAATAAAAAAAAAACAGGATATAGATTTCGCGCCAATAGGTGAATACAGTTCCCAAGTGGATTTACTGATTCCAATATCAAACTATTTTCGAGAAATCTATACGAATTACAATTCAAACAATTTTCTCTGATGCACTGTTTTTAATTCATCATTTTTTTCTGTTCAGAAAGAAGACAATAGTTGTGATATTTTATATTTGGTGTTGTAAGTTGGAAAAATCGTAAATACCGATTTAATTTTTGTGGAAGCCAAAGAAGTCGATATCGCCAGCAAGGGTCTTTAATGATATTATAAATAAGTTTATAAATAAGTTAAGAGTTTCGCGAATTGTTACACATACTATATTTTAATTACAGAATATAAATTATTATAGCTGTGAAAAGTAAAATGTACAGAGTATGTGTTAATTTAGTATCAATACAAATAATAATTTCTAGCTTTTTTTAGCCTGTATTTCTTTCTTTTTATATTACAATTATAATTCTGTTGATTTTATTATGTTTACAATTTCAAGTAAAATCCTTTGACCTCCACAACAACTCAAGAGACAGTATATGATACATAAAACATATAGAAACATATAAATATATAATGTATATGTATATATTTGCTGTTACTGCTGATTCGAGTGCGAGGCGGCCGCATGGTCGCGGTGATCTTTCCAATGTCTTTCTACGAATTTCCGTATGTAATTGTAAGGTTTTGAGTCCTGCTCGCCTAAGACATTCTCTACCTAAAATAAAATTGTTTAATTATTAAATTTCTAACGCTAATGAATCAGCCGTGTGTTTTAATAGAAACGAGGGTATAATAGACAATACAGAAGGGAGAAGAGAGAGATTGATGGATCTCCCACTTAATATTGCAAAAAGTCCGTAAAATTAAGTTTCATACAAATTGTAACACCCTATTTCACCCTTTTAGGGGTTAAATTATCAAAATCCCTTCTAAATCTTGTTATAAAACCTCATCAGTCAACTTTGCCCCATGGGAGTCACTAGTGTCGACTTCGACCGCACCTGCGTGTATCGTCCCGAAGTAATAATGCGTGCCGAAGCTTCGTACGTTTTGACACTAAAAAGTTATCGCGATAAAATCGGTGGTCATATTAGTGACTTCGATATTTTGCATGAACTATCGTGCAATAATCCTAGCAAATCCTAGCAAAATAGATGGTGGATGAAATCATTTTCAAACTTCTAACAATGGACGACGAATGAATGAATTTACTTCTACATGTGTGCTAACATATACATAATGCATTTATTAAAATCTTAAAAGAAGAAACCTAACATGTAATTAAAGGAATTCCAGTACCATTTCATTACTTCACTCCATTTTTACACAGTCACCTGCATGCGGCTGAACTGATCGAAAACAACGGCCAAAATGAACAACGCTAGTATGACCATACAGCGCGATATGTTGATGCGCTAAAACCCTTTGATGTACCGCTACCTGTGCGATAACACCCGCCCACGCACACGTAGCCCGAAACCCGAATCTTGCGTCTATCGTGTTGCTTTGTGGCGATAGACGCAGATGCGGCTCTAGCATAACGAAAATGCCAGAAAGAACAACTTGCTAGGTAGTAGGTCGTTTTCCACCTATTAGTCTATCTACGTAGGTGTTACCCTCTTTCCTGGAGCCAATCAGCTGTTTTTGCAGTCCTGTGCTCTGGTCTGAAGAGTATAAAGATCCAGTAAAATTACATGCTGTGAGATATTCTATCTTGGTTTTCAGAGGTGACAACATATTATATTCCATAGTATTCTGTATACATGTGTTTTTAGAACTTAATTGTACACATCCATGGAACTGCAGTCAATACCTACTAAAACTTATGACTTCCGACAGATGAAGGTATAGCCATTCTTGCTTAAGACCTAAAATACACAGACCGGGGACAGGCAGCAAGGTCATGTTTCATTTTATTAGATAAAAGTATACATTTTAAAGAAAAAGGGTGACAAACGAGCACACAGTCCACCTGATGGTAAGTTGAAACTGTATAAGTATATTTGTTAGCAAGTAAGCGATAATTTTTAGCAACATATACTTTCACTGCCTTTTAGGAACACAATCTGACGTAACAATAACTACCATATACACGTACGCTCTATAATTCGCCGATACAAGCGCAGAATATTCAGCACAACAGCCAAAAGTGTGAACATTTAGTATTCGGAGATAGATATTCAGTATTTGGCAAAATCACTATATGCGGCATCTCTACTAGAAACCTTTTGAAATTACTAAAACTGCCCAGTTATCCATTAATCTATCCATTACAGTCTATGAAAGTCCACTGCTGAACATAGGCCTCCCATTAGAATGTTACATAGGGCAGATTTTATCACAGTTGGCATGCTTGGCAAGCGGGTTGGCAACCGCAGCTTTCTGTTATTTTAAGTTGTTATCAGGATGATGCAGCTGCTCATCTCCTCTGTCGCCTCTCACCCCAGGGGCGACATGGGGTAGTGGATTTTCTTACAGTGCACTTCACAGTTATACAGTCATTATTACACACCCATCAATCAAATTTAACAAACAAAACATAAAAGCTGCAATCTTTGTTATTTTTGAAAAAATATAAATTAAATCGGTTTAGCTTGGAGGAGGCAACACTGGAATATGGATTTTGTAAATGTTTCATAGGTGCCTTCCCTCAGTCACATTCAGGCACAGTGTTAAAACATATTCGATTGTTAAGAACATATTCTTTACATTTCTTGCAGCCCCGATAGGCATGCAGATCCTCTTAAGGCATTTGGAAATATAGATGTCAAAAACTGGATACCTTATATGGTGGTGTGATGGTGACTTCATTGTAGACCCTGATATTCTGACCGGCCCATGAGACATCATCAATGACCCTTGCAATAGCTAGGAACAGTCTTTGGCCCTCGGGATCCAGACAGGCAGATAGTGCAGATACCTAAACAGGTTAAAACTTGAAATTTGGATAAAAGGATTAATATTAATTTTTTCGGAAAAAATATATAAGTGATATAGTAGGAGTAACTGACATGGCCATATAGCTTGAAGAACCGACAGACTTATTAAATATAATAAATATTATAATATCCAAAAAGGGTAGTTAAGTTGTAAGCTACATCATATTTCACACACTTATGGGCAAAAAAACTATCTTATCTCTAACACTTATCTTACAATAAATATTCTGAATTAGTTATAAAAAGTATTTTGTTGCTGCTATCAACAGGCTGTATCATGCTACAAATGCCTGCAGCGCAGCTGAGTCAGACAATGTTGAGCATAACAGTAATACACTCTTTTATTGAACATGGACCAATATTTTTAATAAATATTAATAAGGCTTTAGAGCTCCTTATGAAATAAAATTTTAATATATTTTAGTACATAATGAGTCAAATTCATGATGACCTCTCTCACAACTTACATTACTTGTAAATGACATTCCATTACATTGCATTCCATACTATCCAATTTTATCCCTATCTTATTTTATCCTATTCTATTTTACTTTATTCAATTGCAACAACTTCTACAAACTTGTCACCAGTAAAAATCCCGCTCATGACAAACACTGTCATTGAATGTGCCGACCTGGTGGTTAGCAACTTTGCCACATGATTTGCTTGTGTGGAGTGTGGCCGATGCCACACCATGAAGGGGTGAGTGGTTGAGTAAAATACTTTCAAATCTTAAAAATACTTTGGCTTCTTCCCTGGCCCACATACCCACAAGTATTTACTTAGTATAAATCCTGGCCACAGAGGTATTTACCTTCCATGCAGCACACTATTACAGGAGATTACTCCACACAGTCTTACTAGTATTGAGAGCATCTTTCTTTGTATTATTAAGTGGAATATTTAGTGTCCCAAATAATACATCAGTTTAGGAGATTGTCGTGTAAACCTCTAAGCTTATTTTAAATGCTATTTAAAGCTAATACTTTATTGTAATACCCATAAATATTTCGTCAGACATTTTTGATCACCTTTCACCGACAGAAAATGAAAAAAAAAACTTACTAATCTTCTCTTATTTTCTATAGAGTTCCGCACTCTCGTGTTCAATCTGTGTAGATTCAAGGACTGAGGAGGTTCAGGAACCGTGGTCACTTCTTTCTTTATTTGCACGTCGCTGACCAGCGATAGGTTAACAATGTTGACATCGTGACGCTTTGGATTGCCGCTAGAAGACGGGCATTTAAGAATTAGCATTTTCGTTTGAGGATCAAAAGCTAAAACCTCTCCTTCTATGTCCTCATTATAGCAAGTTTTGGTGGCAACTATGCTGCCGATAGTAAAACAGTCGGACACGACTGTCGACATAATGATCTTCAGATGTTCCCGTTTTAATCTTTATGTTCTACAGCATGCAGTAAATGTGTTGTTATGTAAATAATTCGCGTGCTAAAATGTTTTGTCTAGGCGACAGTGAACGTCCGCCATAGAAGATTTGACTGAAGTCATAAGTCTATGGTCTATACTCAATAGTTGCCAGATCAGATTATCGAAAATACCGCTTTTTCCACATGTAAATACGATATGTGCAAGATTATACAGTGTTTGATGAATAAAATAAAACAATGCAATTCCATGACGTTTTAAAAAGTAAATAATCATTTTTTTTACGTAAAATATTCATTTATTTTAAACAATATCCACAAAGCTTTGAGTACTAAACCAAAGGAGACGGCATCGTAAGGCATACCCCTCTGTAAAAGGTACGAGAGTCCGACACATACCCGTTTCATAAAACTATTTTTTCATAGTTGCTCCACATCGTGCACCATTACATTACGCATTACGCATTAGTGATCGTGCCAGTCAATTCTGGCACTTCACTTCAGCTCTGACAAAAATGCCGAATCGCAGTGTATTTTCATGCAAAAAACAATCAAAACCGTCAAATCTACAAAAGGACAACGTCACTTTTCATCTGTGAATACTTTTAACATAATATTATCGTTAAAACTCGTATTTTCTGAATATTTTTGTAAAATATCAAATGTTGCCAGCATGGTTCATGAAGTGAAAAATAAGCGATTTCAAAATAAATATAATTTACTACACAAAATACATATATTAACGAAAATTTATATCATATTAACTCAATCAGTTTGTGATGAATTATTATCATTACATTAAGATGTGTAGTGGATTTTATCAAATGATTTAAATATTCAGCTCAATCCCAACCCGATTCTGAATATATTATAATTTAATATAATCGATAACTAGTTTTTGTCAAAATATTATACAAAATAAGTCGAATTGAAACTTGTCACTTCGTAGTAAATGCTAAGATTGATTGAGCCAAAGCAATACATATTTGGTAAAGTAACTTTACCAAATATATATTGCTTTCGGTGGTTTGCTCATGTGAAAAGAATGAAAGAGGAAAGACTGACAAAGCAAATATATGTTGCAGAAGTGAATGGAAGAGTTGGAAAAGGACACCCTAGGCGAAAGTTTGTCGAACAAATTGGCGATATATTAAAAATGGGCTAAATTAAGAGTACCCTTAAACCGACAAGCATGTATGCGTAGGTATACGGACGTGGAGGAAGCGAGAGAGGTATGCCAGGATCGTGCTAAATGGAAATCTGTAGTCTCTGCCTACCCCTCTGGGTGATAGGCGTGAGTGTTTATGTTTATGTAAGTTATGTAACTTTTTCGTCTTAGCGTTTTAAATGTCCACGTAAGTTTCCTAAGTCTATACATGACTAATTCAATGTGTCTATGCTATGACAAATGTTGGTTAATTATTACTCAAAAATACTTGGTCTCGGAGACCTTACTAATTAATGAACAGCTGCAACTTGTACTTAAGGGATCATAGCACGTGTGAAGTTTAATTTGGAAATCAATATTAGGCTGAGTTCGAATATAATTTGAAAAACATATATTGGGTCCTTACATATGGTATTATCGTTTTGTCGTATTGACAGTAGACAGTCATTCATTTGTTTTTTCCTCATTATTTTTTTCTTTGGCGGCGCTTATTATCGCACAATGGAAAACATCAAATATCGGTATATTTACGAATACGAGTTCTACCGTGGCACCAGTGTTGTTTAGGAATTAACGCGCATGGCCTCTCCACTTGATTGAATACTCAAAGCCTCAAAGTAACTATAATCATAAACATCTTAACAACTTTATGCACAAAATAGTTTAGTCACTGTCACTATCTATTGCCATTCTTTTTTAGTTAAAAGATTTCACCTTCAACCTTCAACAATGGCCTGTTTTGCCCACATAATATTGCTCGTAATTGTCTCGGTAATTAATTTGTTTTTCTTCTTAGTTTTTTTGTCATTTATTTGGCTGAATACTTTTTCACATTAGGCATTAGAATTTGGAAGAGTAAAAATTATCAGCATAAGCTAGATGACCAAACCAAACTTTTCAAACTGCTTCACCTGTGTTGTATGCTGTAAGAAAAAAATGTATAGAAAGTTCAAAACTTGTACTTAATAAAAATGATTTTTACCATGTGCCAAAATACATCAGGTTGTTGGCTTGTATCTAAATCTTTTTTTAGTTTCGGCAATATCCACCATTTATGGTCTATTTGTTGTTGCTCGGCCAAAGAGGTTGGTGCCAATCCAATCCAATACCAGATAATTTAAATGAGACATAATAATTAACAATGAACTACACTATGGCTGGCTTCATTTACCTAAATAACCTCTATAGTACGGAAAATACGGAGAATACATGAATACCCTATTCCCTTTGTGTTGTGTGTGTCATTCATAATTTACGAATTTTTTCTTAAGTAGCGTTCATTATAAAATGAAATTTTATTTCCGGTTGAAAAAATACTGTGTCTCCATACACTGCATTTAAAAAATACGGTATCTAGTAGACGGCGTGAAAATACGGCAGATCTACTCTAATACAGTGTATCTGGCAACATTGGCGCTAGCACTTTTTATTATAAAAAATATATAATAGTCGATATATATATATATATATATATATATATATATATATATATATATATATATATATATATATATATATATATATATATATATATATGGAGATATGGATATAGATATATGGAGTGTGGTGGCGAAGTAAGGAGTACAGACTGTGTATTAAAAATGTCCATAGAAAACCGTTAAATAAGGGTGGCGCCACTATAACTACGGGGTAAATTTTAACCCTCAATCCACTAGGTGAAATTTGCTAACGTAAACACCTTCTATGAGTCCACTGGACTCATATATTTTCTAAGCGTGGTTTTCTCAAATAAAACACTTTTTTTATAATTTCTTTTTTATTATTATTCTTAAATATTAAATAAGGCACTAGAAAAAAGTAACAAAACTGAATAAACTTCTCAAATTCTCTTAAAAATTAAAGAAACTTTGTTCTAACAGTCTCAATAACAAAGGTATTTTTAGACCTCTACAAAAATAACAAATATCCTTAACAAATATATCTTTTTATCTTTATAAGCCTTTCATAGGTATATAAAACAAAAATAATAGAACAAAAATGTATGCTTCTATACAAAAATAAAAAACGTGCAATGGGTCTTGCCACCGCTTCAGGCAACGACGGCATACCTTTTTTGAGCAACTCAAACATACAGGCTTCAGACATTTGGTGCATAAATGTGCAGTTTTTGTTCTCTTTTTGTAATGACAAAGGAAACAATATTTTCTTTCCGTCCTGGGTAACTTGTCTTCAGTTTCAGAGTGGCTTGCATCTTCAGGAATGTCTTTTTTCAAGATATATGAAATCGAACTACGAATTTGGTTTGGCAAACGTGTACTGTACAAACGTGTCATCAAATTACTTTGATTTAGGTTTTCTGCGATGCTTTTGAGAAAATCTAATCTTCTCAGCTTTGGTACATCACTTTGGCTTCCATAGATGACTTGCGCATTGCAACATGCCATATCAACAATCCTGAAGAACACAGCCATAGGCCAACGCATCGTCCTTCTACTGCACGAGTACACCGAACATTTTTGGTCAACCATATCAACACCTCCTTTGGTTGAATTGTAATACATAATTACTTCAGGTTTTCTAGTATTGCTGTCAATTGTGTGGTCATGGTGCATGGAAGAGTATAGCACAACAGCCTTATTTTTTTTTGGGACATAGCTTACAAGAGTACACTCTTTGGTAAATCCAAACACGGAAGATTCAACAGGCCTGTCTTTGTGCGGGAGAAATTCTTTCGGAATGACTCTTTTGTTTTTTTTTAGCGTACCTACTGTTGTCAAGCCTCTTTTCTTCAATTCTTGAAGTAATTCCATTGAAGAATACCAGTTGTCTGTGGTAACATTAATGTTTGTGTTGAAAATAGGTTGACACAAGCGGAGCGTGGCCTGTGTCGGTACCGATTTCTTTTTCTCTTCTTCAGTCAAACCAAATCCATCGGAACCTCTACCGGTGTATAAATAGATGTTGTAAACATAAAATTTTTCAGAATCTACTAAGCACTGCATCTTTAAACCATATTTCCCCGGCTTATTGGGCATGTACATTTTGAATCTTGATCGTCCTCTAAATTCTATGAGCATTTCATCGACGGTCGCGTTAGTGCCCATCGAATGATTGTTTTGACTGTTTTCAACAAACGTCTGTAATATGTCTGTGATAAGACAAGCAGGATCAAATTGCCTCCGGATGTCACGATCAGAAGCATTATCAAAGCGAAGCGCCAATAGCAATGCCAAAAATCTGTTTTTGGACATAGATGCTCTGAATATTTCACGCCCAGTGCCGTCAGTTGCGAATAATGATAGAACGCTTTCCCTGTTAGATTTGAAAATAGCGGAATAAATAAGCAAAGCCAGAAACCCTTTCAATTCGATAAGGCTAGTCTGTCTAAAGGCAAAATCTTTTGGGTATTTCGTTTGAAATTCCGCAAGTTTTTTATTTGTATGAATCAAAACGATGTTTAGCATTCTTTGATCAAATATTAGTTGGAACGCATCAATTGGAGAAAGAGGTCCTTCAGCTGTAGGCCTTACTCTAGGAATTTGAACCACATTATGTGCTGCAGTACGTACATTTCGGGCTGGAGGTAATCGTGACCACTTATACCGATTTTTCCCGTAGTAGTAGTTTTGATTTTGCGCGGGTATCGATTGGTCGTCATCACTCTCGTCAGATAAATTTTCTTGAGCTGGCGAACTAGTGCGCAATCTGCGAGATAGCTCAACAGCGGTAAGTTGCTCTCACTCGATGACTCACAATCATCGGTCGCAGGTACCTCAGGTTGCTCTTCATTACCAGATTCCGAATCAGTGTTGTGTTCACTGTGAATGAACTCACCATCTTCCCTATCCGAGTTGTGTATGTCGTCATTTGTGGGCATCATGACACCGTGTGACTGGCCAGCATCTTCATCGTCAGTCTCTTCATTCATAATTTGTGTGATCCATGATTCCACAACAGAATCCGCCTGGTCTTCATTCATATTTACAACTTTATGTGGTTTTAGATCCATTTTACAAACCTACAATGAAAGAAATTAAAATATATATGTTTTTATATAAATAATACGACAGATAAGCAACGTTTGAGAATCGCAACAATTAAATAAAAATATTAACATAATTCACTAGTATGAGTCCATGGGACTCACTCGACTTGATAACTCACCAACTACGCGTCACAGGTGCACGTCCTCTCGCTATCGCGGTACCGGCGACACTGTAGGAAGGTACTAAGGCGGGGGAGGAAACCAGTCGCTAGAGCTAAAATTTATAACGGTTTAAAATTTCGATGTGAGTCCAATGGACTCAGGTAGTGAATTAAGGGTTAAAGAATGCACCGAAAAATGTTAGTGGGATAGATGACTTTTTCGAGGTTACATTTACTGAAAAAAATTATATTAGATTTTATAGCTACTGAGCAGTTTAGCAGCACACTTAAACCGTCGACAACTGCTAAGTTCATTTCATCCCAGTAGCTACAACAGCGCTGTTGTGGAGAGTTTTCGAACTGTTATTTACTGCTTACAGATGGCCACTTTTTCAACTATTCTACTATGGGAGTTGGTACTCCTTTACTTCTACATAAGTCGATAGGTATTGTATTATACCAGCGTTAGTACTTTATTGCAAGGTACTCTTTCGTAGACAGAGCTGTCCATTTACGGCCTCTTTCTTTCGCTTTCTTTGTTTGGTCACGGACTTGTACGGTTGTTTTTTTGCCAGTGTCAGAAGAAATTGTCCTTTGTATTTCAAAATTTCTTTGCAATATGTTGATACGTCACATTGTGAGGTTGTTGGAAGATTTTGATGGCAGCTTGGCGTGGCGCAGTGGCTTAGCAATGAGTTACAGCGCTAAGGGCCGTGGGTTCGAATCCCGCACGGAACAAGTATTTGTACGGCCTACAAGTAAGTGTTCCGGGTCTGGATGTTTGTCCTTGTGAAATTTATGTTTGTAAACTGCCCTCACGATACAGGAGATAATCCTAGTGTGTAGTTAACGTTTTTAAAAAGAAAGAAAGAAAAAAATCGATGCCTCTACCTCAAATAGCACGAATTTAAAATCATCTCTTAGAAACTTATATTTAAGCCGTTTATTTAATTTAACCGCCACTGATACCGTACTGGCCTTAAAATAGCTACTCTTGAGATGAGAGGCTGCCAAATGTCTATATACAGCGTCCTACTAAAAAAGAACCTCTTTCCCAAGCGACCAAATACTAACAGACCTCCTACCAACTTTTCCGAAAAATCCCCAAGGCACTTAGGGTATTCAAATTTAAATTGGAAGAACCCGCAAGAACCAAAACAACTCACGGGACTTTTTTTAAAATAAAATCAATTTACAATATATTATTTTATACAATTGGTATGTAGATATTAGAAACAGATAGCATCAATAATCTCATTCCCAGGGGTTATTATCAATGACGTACTCATTCTTTAGTAGCATAAAAACCCTTATCAAACATTTTTTGCCTAAAAAATTATAAACTTTTCAATAGATAAGGCCAGTATATTTTCTGAGACTTTGTTGTAAGCGTACACATTGGCCCATGAAGAAGTTACTGACCCCTTTGAGTCAAGTAACTTGTGCTTGTTCCTGGTATTTACAGAATGTACACACATCAAAAAAGTTTGCGATCAGTTTTGAAAAGGGAAATCTTTTTTTGTTACGGTAGACTATGTTATAATTTCTTCTTCCTTTTAGATTACTTTACTTAAAAATATAGAATTAGAATATAAAACATTTTCAGTTGTTTTTCCATATAAAAAAAAATTCAATCCAAGCTTGTGCTCATTCAGAAATCTGACTTAGTCAGTTATAATTTAAGGTTTACGAGTTTATTACTACGCGCAGCAGAAATACAGATCCGCCCGACGCGAACGCTGATAAGTAAAGAAACGCCTTGCACTCACACTCAGTCACAGCGTATTTATACCTTGCAATGTGGAATCCCGCACGCCGCTTCCAGAAATCTGGTTCATATTTATGTCCAATCACTTGTTAGAATAGTAAGATTTTTATTAGATATCGTAATTTTAAGATTGTGAATATTTTAATGTAGGCATTTTAGTTAGAAACTTTGTAATTTTAATTTTTTGTATATAATGAGTCACATTTTGACAATAAATATTTCCACTCAATTCTACACCTTCTACGAATTACAACTTTCACTTTAAAACACCTAATCTGTTAAATGACAATTTGTAACTTGTAAGTATCCATCGACTATATTCATGATTCATCAGGTCCATTTCGATTCAATGAGCGTTCGTCCAACACCACATTTGCCAGTAGAAAGCTGCCACGTAAAAACCTTTATTTCCTGTCGGTTCTTCGAGGTATATGGCCGGCTCATTGCCACTTCAGCTTACCAATTCGTTGGGCTGCAGCATGACTGTGCCAGTTACTCGTATACAGAATATATAACGTTATCTCTCGTTCATCTGCAGATAGCTAGTGACAGATTTTATCACGCAGGTGAATACCGAGTATAGAACTTTTTTTATTACAATAAACAGTAAGATGACTGTTTTTATCCTTTTAAATATGCTTCTGTCGCCTCTTACTATACCACAGAATGATATGGGGTATTTTATATTCTAAAACGGTAATAAATGCTGAACGGGGCAATTGGTGTAAATAATTACAAATGAAACAAAATATTTAAAGCTATAACATTTATTCCTACAAATAAAATTACATTGACATCTAGCAATAAAAACATTCTTGATATCAATATACATAAAATATAAAACTAAAAAAAAAACTACATAAAACTTCAACATGAGATACAAATGGCAGCACTTATATTAAAGAATCAATACTGTCAATAAAATTAAAAATAATAAATGTGAGTAAATAATAAAATATTAACATCAACTATAAAATACAAGTGTTATTTTTCTAAATGGAATGAATTCAGAAGTACATTCTTTTTTAAAATTCCAATACTATCAAAAGCATTTCACCTAGTGCGCATGATTTTAAATTTTGGCGCTAAAAAATCAGTTTTTTTTAAATGTATTAATAACATACAACTGAGCAAGCTAAAAGCTTTAACTTTAAACAATGAACAAGGAAAATTCAATTTTTAGGAAAAGCAGTGACGTAGCAAGGGCATGACCTCGAGCGATATTTTTAGTAAAAATCCGCAATACACAAAATCCGTAAAGGAATATTTAGGGTATGTTCCGAAACTTTTCCAGTATACTGCCGAACGCAAATGACATCATTAATTGACACCATATTGTGTCGGATATCCGGCCATATTAAAACAATTTTTGTGTGTACGTCAAGCACGCCAGAATTTGTTTCTATTTATTCAAATACAAAAAATTATAGCATAATTGCTGGTATCTACATTAGGAGGATATAATGACTATTGGAGCACAAAATGACAAAATAATCGCCAACACTTTTCAGATATAACGCAAATGTATGACGTCATATACTGTCCTATGTTTCGAAACGAATCACTAGTATGGCGTCGATTTATGACTTCATTTGCGTTGGACAGTACACTGGGTTCTATTTTGGAACATACCCATAGCATTGAAAGCTATGAAAAACTATATACTCCACACACATACGTACACATACATATTACATTTATCAAGGAAAAAGATAAGTATAAAATATACATTACAAAATAAGAAAAAACGGAGGGGGAGCGTGGAGTTAGTATGTGCCTCCCTCCTATCAATAGTGTAATAAAAACATGTACTGCTAGGTTTAGTGGGGGGTAATAATGAAATATTGTAACTAGGCAGTCGTTTTGTATTGGTCCGACCACCACAAGGGAAGCGCTTTTTGGCTTTAGTGGTCCCGTTGCTACGCCACTATAACAGAGTTATAGTTTTAGGTTATATTTGTTTAATCCACGAGTATAACAAGGTTACTTCTAAAGCTAGAACCGAGTAACATATTTAATTTTCAGTGTGAGCTTTAATTAACGAGTTTGGTGACGTAGTTGCTCGGGAACAAGCCAGTCATGCCGCGAAGTTCACCTGCAATTAAAACGTATCCATATGGTCATTCGCTTAATATGGTCACTTTCTTATAACTCTTAAACTACAGCCTCGTTTGCATGGAAGGCTCTGTGATACGATGGCTCTTCATCAGTCAATCAAATACAGTGGTAAACATGGAGTATATAGGTTAGAAGGACAATCTCCCATAGTAGAACAGTTGAAAAAGTGTCCATCTGTAAGCAGTAAATAACAGTTCAAAAACTCTGCACAACAGCGCTCGAGTAGCGATAGGGTATGATAAATCGCCGTAAAATATGTTGAGAGTGATTATGAAAATAAAAAAATTTGAAAGCAATAAAATAATTATTCTAAAAAAAATTATGGTGAAAGTCTGTGCAGTAAAAAATTATAAAAAGTTGTTTAAAATTTAGACTGTAGCCACAGTGGCGCCCCCCTTATTTAACGTTTCGCTACGAACACGTTTTTATACAGAGTCTGTACTCCTTACCTCTACACCACATAATAGTAAATGTGGTCATTAATTGTCTTTTTTATAAGTTTATTTTTCGAATTTTTCAATTATTTCCAAAGCTTGTTTGCTATTTTCTTCTTAAGACGACATAAAGAAAAAGGCTATCGCCGTACTGATCGGAGTGAATACATAATTTCTATAAAACACTTGAAAAAACGCCGTCGATAAGGTCTAAAATAGCGTAGCGCCCGCGACGATTTGGTTAAAAGCGCTTAGAAATTGTCAGAATCTTAAAATATATTTTTTAAAAATTATTGATTTAAGTAATCAAAATAATGAGCAAGTAAATTATGAATATTGATGTTATGAATATATTTGAGTGATTCCCAAGCATATAGATCAAATGATTTCGTTGTAATTTCAACTATAGTGATTTTTTAGAGGTGTTTTCGCAAATAATTATGATCGAGTCATAATTACACAATCGTGTCATTGAACAATCAAATCTCAAGATAAAGACACTGAATTTACACTATATCAAAATTCCACTTTCGTTAGTGTTGTCATAGTCCTATACTTATTACGATGAAAGGAGATGTATTTTTTCACGGTGTCGCCTTAATATATTAGCTGTTATAGTATACGACTTTGTGTTTTTGTCTCTGTTCACCTCCTAGTTTTGGTTTTATCGCGCGGCAAAGCTTAAGATGGCATAGTAACCTCATGTACCTTAATAGAATCCACAAAATTAGTGATTCAATTATGGGATTCCATATAAAATATACATTGACATACTTTTTTAGAACAAGGTTGACAAGCGAGCACACAGTTCACACAGTTTGACATTCACCTGATGGTAAGTGGATGCTGTGGCCCATAGACATCTACATTTAACCTCGAATAAGAATCAAAATGCAGATGCGTTATCACCCGTGAAGATTAAAATGGAATACCTCGTTTACAGTAAAAATGGTCTTCTGTTATCTATCCTCATATCCTGCCTTTATACCGCCATCTATTGGAAGCAATAACATTTTCTGAGACTTCGAATATTCGCTTTTTAAAACACCCACGCGTTGAAATGGGATGATGGATTTAATGTTAAAGGAAAGTAAAAATAAAATCCCATGGCTATGGGGTTAACAGCTATATATTTTGACGTTTTTAAGAGTTTTGAAGAGACCTAAAATTGAATAAAGCGTTAAGTACTATTAACTGGAATATAGATATACCCCATAGATTTCCTTATCAGCTTGGCAGACAATTTGACAACTGCAGTTTTTTTATTTTAGTCGTTATTAGAATGAAACTGACAAAGACTGACTAGACACACACGGTACGATATGGTGTGGTGGATATTCTTACACGGCCACTACACGGTCAAGTCTTAGTACCCTCAAACACACAATACTACCCTCAAACTAATGACGGCAAGGATATCAAAATTTCCGAAAGAGGGGGGGGGGGGTTCCTAAACAGGGAAGACTGGTGACGTCACTCACCCTGCCACCAGGCCGGGTCCTGGCTGCGATCCGTCACCGCGATGATGTCGTCCTTCTCGAAGCTCAGCTCGTCCGCGTTTTGAGCCGTGTACGGATACAGCGCGATCACCTGTTGAAAATTATATAAAAAAATACATGATAAGTATACACTTAGTTAGCAGACGTGGTAGAGCCACGCTACAGCTATATTGTGATTGTAGCACGAATGGGTCGGCTCGATCGGGGCAGGACATATATATATCGGAAATAGCAGCTTAATGTTGGTGTGTTTCGTATGGTGAGTGTAGAGAACCGATGATCCTTGTTTCTGGAAACAAGGCATTCCATCTTAGTCCTCACGGGTAACAACTCATCTGTATTTAGATTTTAAACGAGAATGTATCCATATTCAAGTGGATTGTGCGTTGGTTTGTCGCTATTATTCTTTAAAACAATGTTGCCACTTCCAAAAAATATCCAGAGCGGCGACGACGACTCAATACAACTGCTAAACGTAATGACTAAGACGAATTAGTGTCGGCGCCTTGCTGCTTACTGTCACTTTGACAGTAGCCTAATGGCAAGGCGCCGACCGCGAACTCAAAAAGGTCGTGGGTTCGAATCCGCCATTCGACTACTGGCGGAAACCACTCTAATATTTTCTCTATCTAATATTCTTTTTCATTTAAAAAAATTCTCTTTACAGTGGGTAAGGCCCAAGCCCAGCCATGAGATTTTATGTGCTAATGACAAAAAAAACTTACTTTATCTATAACGGTCTCCGATGGTACCGTGTCCATCTTGGACAGAACTGGTGTAGTTCTACCGGAGGCACGGCCTGTAGACTGTAGCACCTGGTGAGACAGTGGCTTCGTCAAATTTAGCAAAAACAAACCATAACTTGTTATTGAAGTTGATTGGACAATAAGCAAGAGAAATGAATTTCCTTAATATATAGGGTGGTGTCGGATAGCATACAATAAATGTTACAGCTGGCACTGGTGGTGAAATATGTTTAATTACTGTCTATTGTATTTTTTGACATTTAATATTTATTATAAAAAAAACCATTTCTTTTAGGTATATGACATTTATTAAATTTATTAGTTAAGTTAAAAAGTTACAGCTTATATACGTCCCACTACTGGGCACAGGCCTCCCCTCATTTCTGAGAGGGTTTTAAGTCAAGAGTTGTCCGCCGCGGTGTCCCAACGCGAGTTGTCGAACTTTAGATGTCTTCCAAATATATTTTTTTCTTATATTCTAAGACAGCACTTATAATTGCAATTAACAATTTCATTGGTGCCAGCGGGGATCGAACTTGGCTTACTAGCGTACTGTGAAATTTACAGCGAGTGCTAACCATCTGACCTACTACGGCTCAAATTTATTAGATTTAATATAATTACATAATATACATTTTGTAATGGAAATATGGTTTTATTGTATTTTTTGACATTTAATATTTACTGTAAATATTTGGACAATTTATTTCTTTTTTATTGTATTTGTCATATTTTAAATGTATAAATTATAGAAATAAACATTATATGTATTTATTAAAAACTTAACGTTAAAATATTTTTAAATAGCTTCATTGATAGGTGGCATTAAAATAAAATAAATGCAAACATGTAAATAATTTTATGATCAAGCTTCTTTAATAATGTATATACATGTTATCACTTGCTTCTAATTCTAATTTATTTAATTGTGAATACAGGTACAGGACTCAGAATGGATCTTTAAAAGATATGATATTCGCTACACTCAACCTTTAGGTTAAGTAAAGTTATAATTAAATCTACAACAGTTAAATTATTTATATGATAATTATATAAGAATGCTCAATATGTAGTAATTAAATTATATATTAATAAAAAAGGCTATTTACAATACATATATATTCTAATCGAATGTCAAAAATGATATATGCAATGTCAATATAATAAGCCTACTGATGTGTCTCTAAAATATTCATTAATTGATAATTAATAACGATTATTTCATTAAATTGTAATAATAAATCATGGTAGAATGAAAGGTCTCTTTAATAATTAATAAGATCATTATATGATGTACTACATTGTGGCAATAACGAAAATTGAATGAAATGGAACTCTATATTGTGCTTTTTACCGTACATAAAAATTCTGTAAACATAATAACATGAAAAAAATGACTCATTTAATTATTTAACATTTGTATACATAAAAGGGTTGAACCTAATTAGTTTTCACATGAATACTTTAAAAAAAAAACGAGTTGTATTGTTAATTTCTTTGTTTAAAGTTGGTTGCCAAGGTGTATGCAGCATATATTTACCATCAGGTGGACTAAGTTTGTCATTGCAATTTTATAAAAAAAATAATTGATATCTAATGATACTGTTGCGCGCCACGGTTGATGACACCAGCGCCATCTATTATCGAATAGAAGAACTAAGCTTTCTAGATAACTCCACACTCGAATTTTCTACATCTAGTCGGTCGGGACCGGTATTTGCAGTTTGCAGTGCCGGAACATTCTAGATGTTTCGGTGGAAAAGGCCTATATAAAGTCGTGAAAAGTCGCTACCGGAGTAGTATCGGATTGGCGATACGAGCGAAGCTTTCGGAGTGAAATAAAGTGAACTACAGTGTTAAGTGTGATAATTATTAGTGCGATTTAAGTTTTAATTAGTGATCGGTAATTAGTGTCAATTTCGATAATTCAATCGGCAGTTTTTACTGTAACGAACCTTAAGCTCGTAACAATACGTAGTGGCGAGAGACCTAAGTTACTTATTAATCATTTTATGTTTGAATCCAATATACAAAAATTGTTAAATAAATAAATACAAAGACACGATTCAGTAAGCCTGTTTAAGGGGCTGACCTTGACGTAGCTGGCCGGGAACCAGCCGATCTGTCTGTTCCGGCCCTTAGCCTGCAGCTCGCCCTCCCACCAGCCGCTGTCGGCTTTCTTGCGGACCACCAGGAGCTGACCCTTCTGCAGGGACAGCTGTTCTGAGCTATTGAGTAAAAACAATACATCATGTTAGTAAACTGCTATCCAATACAAAGTACTCGTCGGTTGTGGTTTATTGATAAATTAATAAATTGAAACGTAAAGTGTAAAATATTAAAGTGTAAATTGTATTTTTTTATTAAAATCCAACTGGATTTCTCGCTGGTTCTTGCCAGGACAAAAGTTTTCTCGAACCAGTAGCAGCAAAGCTTAAATTAGTTTCAGTAAGTGTTCTTGAAATCTATATTGTATAAAAATGATTCTATTCTATTTGTTTGAATTGTTTTTAGCAAGCGACGGGTGCACAATTTAATAATTACTATTTAACGAGGTAAAGATTTTCTATAAAACATTAGTTCCCGTATGAAGTCTCGAACGCGCGCTCGAAAGAGAGAAGGAGAGGAACAGTGGGAGGGAGAGAGAGAGAGAGAGAGAGAGAGAGAGAGGGAGAGGGAGAGGGAGAGAGAGGAGGGGGAGAGAGAGGGGGAGAGAGGGGGGGAGAGAGAGGGAGAGATAGAGGGAGAGAGATTGAAGGAGAGAAGGAGAGAGAGGGAGAGGGAGAGGGAGAGGGAGCGAGGGAGGGAGGGAGGGAGAGAGGGGGGAGGGAGAGAGAGGGAGAGAGGGAGAGAGGGACTAAAAAAAAGCAAAATCATTTTTTATAGTATAAGGGTGGCAAACGCAAACACAGTCCACCTGATGGTAAGTGGATGCTGTGGTCTATAGACATTTATCTTCGATTAAGAATCTAAACGCAAATGCGCTGTCACCCCTGGGGATTAAGATAGAATGCATCGTTTCCAGTAAAAAAGGGTCTACAGTTCTCTACACTCACGATACGAAACACAGTTGCATGAAGCTGCTATTTGACGCCAGTATTGTGTGAGAGCGTGGTCCTTCCCCGGTCGAGCCCACCCATTCGTACTACAACCATAATATAGCTACAGCGTGGCGCTCTACCAGGTATGAATCTACATCTACATCTATCCTCGGTTACGAATCAAAATGCAGATGCGTTGTCACTCGTGAGGACTAAGATGGAATGCCTCGTTTCCAAAAAAGAGTCTCCGGTTCTCTACACTCACCATGCGAAACACAGCAGCGTTAAGCTGCTATTTGACGATGGTATTTGTAAAACATACGTCGATATAATAGCAATATATATATATATATATATATATATATATATATATATATATATATATTCTCCCTCTCTCTTGCATATACACACAAACTCGCACGCACGTGTACGCGTACAAAAACGCACGTAAGTCAGTGTTACGACACACAAACAGATATACACATAATGTAAGAGTAAACCTCAAACTCGTATCAACCCTAACGTACAAAAGAAGAACGTGAAACAAATTACAAAAAATTATATTAAAATGTAAAGGTTACTTCAATTTCCCGCAACTAAGGATCACCTGGTGGCCGTGTAGGAAGCGATGGCCTGGGCGATCTCGTTCTTCCGGCGGCCCGTGACCGAATCCCGGCCGGAATCTCGAGCCGAATCCCGACCGGAGTCCCGGGCTGAGTCCCGGCCGGATTCCCGGGTGGAGTCCCGGCGCGATACGGACGACGTTCGGCCCGAAGCCGCAGCTCCCGCTTGCTCAGTAATGGACGCCACCTCCGAAGATATCGGAGTCGAAGACTTCGTCTCCTAGTGTTTATTGAAGTGAAAACTTCTTTAGAATCGTGATTAGAAGCTTAATGAAACGGAAAAGCGACACTAAAAAGAGACAAACATATACATCTATAAGGTTTAGTTTGCGAGAGAATGAGATAAAATACAGTATGCAGTATTTCCTATTATCTCGGTCTACTTTTATGAAAATTTCACTCTTACCGCGTTTGAACTGCGGCAACCACAGTTTTTGAAGTGAAAACTTCTTAAGAATCGTGATTTTAGAAGGTTAATGAAACGGAAAAGCGATAGTAAAAAGAGACAAACATATACATCTATAGGATTTAGTTTGCGAAAAATGAGATATTTGCTGTTCGAATCGTCGACCACCGAGCTCTTTTCGATAGGCTTGACTCACTGGCGCTGCGAAGAGATGTCGCATCTTTTTGCGTATTTTATCGCATCTACCACGAGGAGTGCTCAGAGGAATTGTTCGGACTAATTCCAGCCGCGCAATTTCACCATCGCACATCGCGACAAAACTCGCGATACCATCCATACCATCTGTATGACAGGCGGTCTACCAATGTGCGATTTAAACGAAGTTTTCTTTCTTATACAACTTCCTTGTGGAATCGACTACCTTCAAAGATTTTTCCAGACTGATACGACTCAGGAATCTTCAAGAAAAGAGCCTATTCCTTTTTAAAAGGCCGGCAACGCATCTGCAATCCCCCTGGTGTTGCAGCTGTTCATGAGCTGCGGTAAACACTTACCATCAGGTGAGTCGTATGCTCGTTTGCCGCCTCTACTATAAAAAAGTTAAATACAGTACACAGTGTTTACTATTAACTTCGTCTCATTTTCTAATGGTTTCAATTCTACCGCGTGTGAACCGCGCACATGTTTTATTTATGTTTTTATTTACTCGCTGTCTTGTCTGTTTGAAACGTATCTTGCAATTTATTTGCAAGACTTCTTTTTTTTTATAGAAGAGGGGGCAAATGATCATGCGGCTCACCTGATGTTAAGTGACTACCGCCGCCCATGATCAACCGCAACACCAGGGGAATTGCAGGTGCGTTGCCGGCCCTTTAGAAAGGAGTAAGCTCTTTTCTTGAAGGTCCCCAGGTCGTATCGGTCCGGAAAAATCGCCGGTGGTAAACTATTCCACAGAGAGGTCGTACGCGGAAGAAAACTCCTTGTGAAACGTACAGTGGTGGACCGCCAAGCATCCAGATGGTGTGGATGGTATCGGGACGTTTGTCGTGTAGTGCGTTCATGAAATTTGGCGGCTGGGATTAATCCGAACAATTCCTCAGAGCACTCCCCGTAATAGATGCGATAAAATACGCAAAGAGATGCAACATCTCTTCGCAGCGCCAGTGAATCGAGCCGATCGGAAAGCACTCGGTCGTCGACGATTCGAGCCGCTCTGCGCTGGATGCGGTACTGGGGAGCCCCAGCCCAGAGATGGGAACAGTATTCCATGTGCGGCCGAACCTGCGCCTTGTAAAGTTGCAGACGGTGTGCCGGCATGAAATACTGTCCCGCTCTGCTGAGCACGCCAAGCTTTTTAGACGCCAATTTGGCCTTCCCTTCCAAGTGACCACGAAACTGCACGTCACTCGATATGTCTAAGCCGAGGATTCCGATACTGGCTGAGGCAACAAGAGGAGTGCCTTGAAACTGAGGGGATACGACAAAGGGGTACTTTTTAGCGGTTAACGCGCAAACTTGTGTCTTCTGGGGGTTAAACTGGACTAGATTTAGTCGCCCTCAATCCGAGACTCTGTCCAGCAGAGACTTCTACGTGCGTGCGTTAAATATAAGATAGTGGAGTGGCGGTGAAACAATATCCACCAGCCCATATCATCCCGTGGGTGTTGTCCCTAATAACGGCTAAAAATAAAAAATAAACTGCGGTTGCCAAACCGCTTGCCAAGCGTGGCAATTATGGCAAATGTCCCCCGCGTGAGGCAATGCTTAGCGAGGCCTATATTCAATTTCTTTTTGTCTTTCTATTCAACCTCTGACACTGGTGAGAGACAGCATGGTGAAACATTTTAGGAATATCTTGTTTTTTTATTCTAGGTTTTTTTTCCTGTTAGACTCAGCATAAACTTGCATACACCGGTGATAGTGATGTACATACTCTTATACTACATTAACTACTTAAGATATTTTCTTATAGACTATTTACATATTTCTTTTCTTTGTTTATTTTCTTTCTTTTACTTTTTTCTTTCGCAATATTATTTTTGCACGTAGTATATATACAACACTAGCCCGCCAGGCAGACATTGTTCTGCCCTTTTCGACGACAATTTGTCATGTCCTATTAAAAACACTTAAATTCGCAAAAAATAAATTTTGCGCAAAAAACTATCCTATATTTCAAGTTGGACCAAACTGCACACGGTGTGCAAATTTGATTAAAATCAAAAGTGACACGTAATTTATATATATTAAGATATATAGTCCTACAAAATTTACTTATTCAATGCTTTTTACAACGTTAACTATACAATCTTATTTCTTCCTATAGTTTCTATGGCTATCTTACATAAATAGTCTATAAATATATCTTTTTTTATTAGAATTCATTATTTCCAACAAATTATCTTTCCGAACTATTTCTTTTGTTTTTAATTCAAATTTCATTTCAGGCTAAACCGTATTTTGGACAATCTACTATTAAATGGACTATTCCCTCTTCGACATCAAAGTTACATATGCATGCGGCATCTTTACATTTGAACCTATGCAGGTACTGACCGAATCGACCGTGATCCGTCAGCATCTGCACAAGCACAGGGGTAAGTTTTAAAAAAAATCTGATACGCTTGTATTCATTTGGGAAGAAGAGGGTTCCGCGGGGAGGATATTATTAGCAATGTATTTGCCATCTGAGTCATAAGACTTTTTCCAGGTATATGCCTTGGCTTTGGAGAATGAGTTTTTTTGGGTTTTTGTTCTGGGTCGGCCAATTTGCAGTGAAGCTTCAGAATAACTAATATTGTAAAAATGTCAAACAATGTGTCCTTTTATCTTATAAATTCAAGACACGTGGTAATGCAATATTTTAACTGATTTCACTGCGCACGAATACATTCTTAAGGGTTGATCGGTAGGCAAAAACGTCGTTGCCCATAAATCACATTCAATTTGGTTTAATTTCAAATAAAAGTAGAAGCCTTATTTACTCGTCTTTCCAAAAGCTGCAATAACGGTATATCATTATTTACACAACATGTAACAAAAATCCTGAGGTTCCCGTTACCTGCATAGTCAGAATCAGTATTCAAGCGTATAGAAATATTTTTTTTTCAAAAAAAAAAAAATAAATATTTGAATAAAATTATTTGTAAATTGTATGTGGTTTTATTGGGTATGTTGCGAAATACAACGCAGTGCACTGTCCAATGCAAATGACGTCACGAATCGACGCTATACTGGTGATTCGTTCCAAAACATTGGACAGTATATGACGTCATACTTTTGCGCCATTTGGAAAAGTGTTGGCGATTATTTTGTCATTTTGTGCTCCAAAAATCATTATATCCTCCTAATGGATATACCATCAATTATTCTATAATTTTTTGTATTTGAATAAATAGAAACAAATTCTGGCATGCTTCATTCGGCAAACACACAATTAAAAATTGTTTTATTATGGCCGGATATCCGACACAATATGGCGGCGGCACGCTAGTACAATAAAGTGTCAAATGATACGTCATTTGCATTGGACAGTACACTGCGTTGTGTTTCGGAACATAACCATTGGGTGCGTTTGGCAGAAAAAAGCGCTTGCAAGCGCTTGTAAGCAAAATGGCGATCGTAAGGGTAAGCGCTGTGAAATAGCTTTTCCTCCAGGACACGATGTTAGTTTTAACCGGTGAATCTAACCTAATTTAAATATATGTTTGTAAAGTATTCATATTAAAAAATTACCATGATCATGAGTTTTTAATAGCATGTATATGTTTATTCATGTCATATATTACTTAAAACTAATATTGCACAAAACAAGTTATAAACTCTACTTCAAAACAAACAAATTAAATAAGCAAATGGCGGATTGTGTCAGCGCTACTGAAGATAGCAATCGTGTCCTGGCCGAAAATAGCTATTATTTAGCGCTTACGCTACGACGCCATGCTTAAGCGCTTGCTAGCGCTTTTTTCTGCCAAACGCACCCATTATCTCTGCGTTGGCCGAGGAGTAAGAGGATTGTCAAAGACCCCGCATTACCGATACTCGTGTGAGTTAGAGGAAATAAAACCACATACAATTTGCAAATTAATTCTTTTAAATAAAATAATTTTTTAAATGCGTTATTTTGAAAAAAAAAAAAACTACTTCTATACGCTTGGATACTGATTCCGATAACGCAGGTAACGGGAAGCACAGGGTTTTTGTTACACGTTGTATATTTTAACTGAAGTATTAAAATTTGGTTATTCTATGAAAAATAACCCTGTAAATATAATTCTTCTTCCGTGTGTATGTGACTGAACACCTCCTTTTGGCTGGATCGATTTTGAGGAAATTTTGTATGTGCGATTGCGAGTGCGTTGTTTTGAGAATGCTTTGGATTCACAATTGGCCCGCTAGGTGGCGCTGTTGTCATGATAACAAAAACACCCGTGCGAAGCCGGAGTTATCACTAGTATAATATAAAAATTACCTGTATAGGTGGGGAAGTAGGTACAGCGCTGAAATCTGTTGGCGCTTCGCTAACCAAAGCGACGGGCGCTTCCGAAGCGGTGCTTGTAGGAAACACCGCTTCGGCTTCGGGTAGGGGCTCGGCCGCTTCGGGAATGGTCGAGATTGGTTCGTTGCCCGAAGTAATCGTGTCTTTGGTAACGTAGTTCGATGGGAAGATGCCGCTTCTGAAAATTTAATTATACCATAGGATAAAGAATGGGGTTGGAAATAAAGCATCATACGTGGTTCAGCCGCGCTGCAGCTATATTATGGTTGTATGGGTTGGCTCGACCGGGGAAGGACCTCGCTCTCACAGAATACCAGCGTGAAATAGCAGCTTAATGCTGCTGTGTTTCGTATGGTGAGTGAGTGTAGAGAACCAGGGACCCTTTTTACTGCAAACGAGTCGTCATTCTATTTTAGTCCTCAGGGGTGACAAATACTCTGCATTTTGATTTGATTTTTTATCTAAAAAAAAAAAATTGGGGGTATATAGAGAGTGTTTGCTGGAAAGGATACGGTATTAACATCAATGGGGAGTAAATCACCTTCGATTTGCCGACGATATAGTCCTTATGGCAGAATCGCTGGAGGACTTAAGCACTATGTGCTCAATGACCTCTCAATAGTGTCTCCCAACGGATAGGTCCTAAGATGAACATGGACAAAACAAAGATCATGTTTAATGTCCATGACACACCTATGCCGGTAGTTGTTGGGAGCACTATGTCGAAGTTGTTGACGAGTACGTTTACCTGGGACAAATAGTCCGACTAGGTAAGTCCAACTTCGACCGAGAGGTCAATCGACGGATTCAACCTAGTTGGGCAGCGATCGGGAAATTACGACACATCTTCTCGTCAGGTATTCCTCAAAACCTGAAAACCAGTGCGTGTTGCCAGTGATGACCTATGGAACCGAGACGTGGTCCTTCACTGGTGGCAGTATGAGGACGCTCAGTCGCTCAGCGAGCTAAGGAGAGGGCTATGCTCGGAGTTTCTCTGCGTGATAATCTCAGAAATGAGCATATCCGCTGTAAAACCAGAGTGACCGACATAGCCCAACGGATTAATAAGCTGAAGTGGCAATGGGCCGGCCATCGTGTGTAGGGCGACCCCCCACTAAATAGAGTGATGACTTGGTAAGACATGCAGGAAGTCGATGGATGCAGGTGGTTCAGAACCGTGCTTTGTGGCATTACTTGGGGGAGGCCTATGTTCAGCAGTGGACTTGTGAAGAGCTGTAATGATGATGATGATATATATAGAGCCTGCACTGTATTGATAAATGGTACCCAAAACAAAAACAGAAACAAAAACAGTTTTAGTATTTGGGCATAAATCACAAATAATGTTATATTAACAAAATGTTATGTAGCCTCTATTTGAAAATTTATACTTATTGGAAAAACATCTGATAATATTAAAATAACTTGAAGTAAGATAGATTTTTCAATAATCAGATAAAAGTTATCCATTAAATAAATAATAACCCAAAGTAAAGTTAGTATAGTTACAGCCTATATACATGCCACTGCTGGGCACAGCCTTCGTCTCATTTTTGAGTGTTTTATAGCAAGGAAATGTCCGCCGCGTTGCCCCAATACGTGTTAGCGAACTAAACATGTCTTCGAAAAATTTTTTCCTATTTCTCAGACATTCAGGTTGCCCCACGATGTTTTCCTTTACCGTCGAGCACGTGGTAAATCAGCACTTAAAATTGAAATTAACAATTTCATTGATTTTTAATACTTGACAACTGTCATTTTTAATTTGTTTACGTTGTACTTTATTCTGTGAATAACTTTAATAGTGCAAATAATCTTCCGCTCGCCAGATATCGCTAGCTGACACTGAGGTGAATTTTTTTGTTACATAATGTCATTTAATTGAGAAGTTAGTTTTACATAAAACTTAATCAGTTTCTAGAGGCATATTCTATATTAATTACACACAACAATGTCTGAGTGGGTTGCTCGTTTATTTTTAGCACATTTTTAACAATTTTTTTTAATTCTTCTACTTTTAGGAATATCTGTGGTTTGGTTTATTTATTTTTAATATAAAATATAATTAATAGTACAGAAAGAAACATCATCCTTTACATTTTCCTAACAAATAAACTTCCCTGCTATGAAATCTGTCAAATATTACACCTCATACCCAAGTGGCGCCACCCTGGTGGAAGAAAGTCATGAACGCCCTCATCTACATATAACTTACTGATTTTTGTCAAATTATTCATTGAGACTACTAAATAAAACATTATAATAAATATAATAAAAGTATGAGAAAGAAAAAGAAGTATGAAAAAAGAGAAAGCACGAGTGTCTTCTATTGAACTAAAATTGATGAAATGAAATTTTCCAGTCAATAATATATTAACAAATCTCACCGCGTTCCAATTCTGCCGGTCCACCAGTCTCCGTCTCTTCTCAGCACCTCGATCCTCTCGCCAGCTTCGAAAGTGAGGTCACCAGGTTCAGAGGAGACATACGGGTACGCCGCAATGTAGAAGTCACCTCCTTCTGCAAGGAAGTGAGAAGATACAAAGTCTGTTCTTTAAATGGTCCTCCGAGCCGGATTAAATTATAATATCAGACGATATCCCAATGCACACACACACACACACACCCATTTTTTATATATATATATATATATATAAAATGAGAGTGACAAACGGCCACCCAATCCACCTGATGGGAAGTGGGTGCTGTGGCCCGTAGACAACTACATCTATCCTAGCTTAAGAATCAAAATGCAGATAGATGGATGCCTCGTTTCCAGTAAAAATTGTCTCCGGTATTCTACACTCACCATACGAAACACAGCATCATTAAGCTACTATTTCAAGCTAATATTCTGTGAGAGCGTTGTTTGTTTGCTGCAGCGTGTTCGTATAAAACTTACTATTAGGCGGACATCATGTGCTCGTTTTTTACATGTAACGGTATGAAATAGTATTTAAGATAAACTACTCACCGGCTACCGGCATTGCACCGCTTAAATCAGTGGAGATCTCAGCTTCTGGAACTTCGGCTATACCTGTTTATTAAAAATATAGTATTAACTTATTTATTAAATATATTATTATTTATATTACCTACATTTTATAAATTTTTTCAGTATGAGTCTTAAAAGTTTTGGGCTTTAGAATTGTCACTCATCGGCAAGTTGAGTCTAAAGTTTTGATCTTGGTGGAAGTGACTCACTCTCAAGTTATATATAAAAAGTTTTGGACCTTTGAGTCACTCATTGGCGTGTTAAGTCTACAAAGTATTGACCTTGGTAGTAGTGATCCTGTCTCAAGTTGCATCTTAAAAGGTTTGTACTTTTGAGTAGTCACTGGTCACTCATTTGCGAGTAGAATCTTTGGGCTTTAGAATTCACTTATCGGTAAGTTGAGTCTAAAGTTTTGATCTTGGTGGTAGTGACTCACTCTCAAGTTGCGTCTAAAGTTTAGGACTTTTAAGTTGTCGCTCATCTGCGAGTAAAATTTTAAGTTTTGATCTTGGTGGTAGTGACTCACTCTCAAGTTACGTCAGTTTTGGACTTTTGAGTCACTCATCGGCGAGTTAAGTCTAAAATTATTTGATCTTGGTAAGTGACACCCTCAAATTGCATCTAAAAAGTTTTGGGGTTTTGTTACTCACCCTCAAGTTGCGTCTTGGTCTCCATAGTCTCAAAGGCCTCGGTGTAAGCTGAGGCAGCATTGATATCTTCTACGTAGGACTCCGGAAACCAGCCCGACTGACCTGGGTGTAGGAAATAGATTGATCACAAAATTGTACTTCGTGTTATGGTCTGTCCAGGTGGATGCCATCTTATATATGCAGCTAAGTAATAGTACGTGAACTGCTGTGTGGTCAGTAGAGTATAGAGAGCGAGTACGATTACACGCTGTGAGACTGAGAGGAGTGTATGACAAATTTTTGTATATTTTCTGGGAGTTTGTTGTAAAAGCGTATACATCGCCCCAAGAATGAATTACTGACTCGGTGAAGTCGAGTAACTGGTACTACTAGCTTGTGTCTGTTCCTAGTATTTACAGTATGAATATCACTTATTTTCGCAAAACTACTTTTATTTTTGTGTACATAACGTACTGACAACGAAAACCAAATAAAAATGACATGCAATACAATCGAGGGAATCCCCGTAAAACATAAACGAAAGGGTTTGTCAACTTGGGAGATTTTAATTCCCTTGTTTTTTATTTAAATAAATAACAATGTTACGTAACGCGTTGTTAGTATCCCCCTTCTCGACCCTGTAACGCATCGTAACGTTTTACAAGTCCCCCCCCTACCCGCAAATTGCGTTACGTAATACTTGAACGTCCCCTTAAGTGAAAATTTTACTGGTTTGAAGACGGGTTAAAGTACGAAACTTATCCAACATGGAATAGACTTACAACTTTCAACGATTTGAAATGTTTGTTTACTAAATAATTCGTTTTATAGATCGACTTCATTTAACGATGAAATGAACTTGCCTACATACTTTTCCAGGCTTAGGACTGGCTGGGACAGACTCAGCATTACCATTAACATTAGCGACTCTATTTCATTGACATAAAGTTCATTTTTTATTGTAAGGACTGTTTAGTCTCTGTCTATGTTTGTAAACGAACGCGGAACCAAAGACTACAATATAACACGGAACGTTAAGGACGAAGACGCGACGAGTGAGATAGATAGTTGAATCATTGCGTTCTCGACTGTATTTTCATAGGCGTAAAATAAAAAATCGCACGAAGTAATTCGAAGACTGGTTTGTGCGACGAAGACTGTTTGAAACCAGGACGCAAAACGGTTTCATCGTCGCAGAACACAAAACAGACTTTCTAAACGGTTCGTCATCGCAACGCTCACCCTTAGTACTCTGAGGTGGCATAGTCTTTTTTGTTTGAAGTTTGTTATCCATGTACAGCTGTAACCACTTACCATCAGAGGGATTGTAGATTTGATAAGCGTAACAACACATCTGTAGCTTTCTTTGTATGAAGCTGGTTGCAGGTACCCATGGGTTGCAAAAGCCTTTTACCATCAGAGGGATTTTTAGCTTGTTTTTTATAGGAAAATAATAGGATATAATATAGGATAGGAGGGAAAGGGATAGACATCTACATCTATCCTTGTTTGCGAATCAAAATGCAGATGCGTTGTCAGCCTTGAGGACTAAGATGAAATGCCTCGTTTCCAGAGTGATAGTGAAAAAGTGTCTCCGGTTCTCTACATTCACCATACGAAACACAGCAACATTAAGCTGCTATTTGACGCTGGTATTCTGTGAGAGCGCGTTTCTTCCCCGGTCGAGCCGACTCAATCGTGCTATAACTATACAATTAATATAGCTGCAGCATGGCTCTACCACGTAAAAAAGTTAGTGACTCATCCACCCAACATTTACAGCTTATAAAATTCTTTTGCGTAACATAAGCCCCCATATCCACAAGATTCTGAGATTTCCGGTCGTGTCGGTTTGCCGTCCCATCTATGAGAGTGAGGCAATAGAGAGTGCACCTGTGCTTGCGCATACACTCGGCCACTATAATCCTGTTCTGCACCGACGGCTAGTCTCCGCTGAGGCTGGCCGCCGTGACAGAGATTCGTCTGGATTACATTATTTTGATTTTAAATCGAAGATAGATACAGGTATCTACGGGCCACAGCATTTAGTTACGGTCAGGTGGACCGTGTGCCAGTTTGTCCAACTGACCTGTCCGACGGTCGGAATCCCAAACTAGGACTTTATGGTTAAGGTTTCGGTAGGCGAATTGTGGGGTGTACTCCCACTAGATGGTAAGACACGCAGGAAATCGATGGATGCAGGTGGCTCAGGACCTTGTTTTGTGGCATTCCTTGGGGGAGGCCTATGTTCAGCAGTGGACTTGTGAAGGGCTGTAATGATGATGATGAAGAAAGACTCTATGGTAACGTTAACTAACCTCTAGCAGTTCCCCATCGCCAGCCCGGCTCCGCGTCAGCCCGTGGAGCAATTGCCTCGCTCACCTACAAACATTAATATAGTGAACTTAACAAAAGATTTTCTTTTCTAAACTATTTCTAATTTTGAAGTGAAAACTTCTACAGAATCGTGATTTGAAACTTAAAGAAACAAAAAAGCGACACTAATAAGAGACAAACATCTATATATCTAAAAAATAAAATCTATAGGATTCAGCCTGCGAGAGAATGAGATAGAAAATACTCCGCATTCGTCGCATTCGTCTCATTCTCTCGAAGTTTGTTTTCTGAAGGTGTCACTTTTACCGCGTGTGAACTGCACACACGTTTTTTTTTAAAATGTTACCTACATTAGTTAGTTTACATACATACCACTTAGGACAGGATAAACATACACCCGGAACAATAATTTGTAGTCGATACAAATACTTAATTCGTGTGGGATTTGAATTCGCAATCTTTCGCGCTGCAAGTCATTTCTATGCCATTGCGCCACGGTACCAGTCAACAATATCATAAATTCTGCTAATATTACCTCTATACCATTAATTTGACCTTCAAACTAACTAGTATTAGAAAATGGCGATTTGATATTTAATAAAAAATATTATATTAATTTAAATATAATGCAGCGTTACTCTATGGAAATTTATTTATTATAATAAAGATGTGAAAATGAATACAATACAATACTATACTTTTTTGTACGCCAAGTAAATATTAATATTAATATACGTAATTCACAAATGTCAAGGGAAAACAATAGATCTTATTGCTACACAGAAATTTCTTCGCAACAGTGTTTAACGTCAAATATAAAAGCTGAAGGTAGCCCGGGTTAACTATGATATTGGGACGTCAAACACCTCAGCTCTCTCTCCGTGATCATCATTAAAATAAGGAAAAACATATATAAACGCAATAAATGCGAAATGCTCTCAACAAAAATTATTAGCGGGCCGCTATTCGTAATGAGTTTAGGAACTGCATTTTTATCCAATCTCACCGAACTCGTTCAACCTAGTTATTTATTTTCAATCTAAATCTATAGACTATAAGGCAACAAATTCATCATCGGTTAGAGGGTAATTACAACAAATATTTCAGGTAGTAACACTCCAATGAAAATTCAACTCTATTGTCAAGGAAATAAAGTTCAATTTCGTTGACTCACCAAGTCGCCGGGCTGCAGACTCAGTTCATCGGCGGTTCTCGCTGTGAACTCGTAGACGCATCTCCAACGCGGCACGGTAGACGTCGCTACTGCTTCCGTAGCTGAAATGGAGACATGTTTGTATAGTGAAAGAATCATTATCAATATCACAGTATACCCGATAGATTTCGTCATTCAAGAGCATTTTGCCATAGTTGCCACGCTTGGCAAGCGGGTTGGCAACTGCAGTTTTTTATTTCAAGTTGTTATTATTGAGACCCTGCTACCCCATCGCATGATTTGTTTCCCTCTGCCGCTTCTTACGAATCCCACGGGATGAAACCGGGTAGAGGGATATTCTTACACCGCCACTATAGATACAATTTACATAAACAGAAACAAAAACCTTTTTATTCAATGTAGGTTATAAACAATACTTATTGAAAGTCACTTTTTTCATTTACCACTGGTTCGCAAAAAACTTCTGTCCTGGGAAGAAACGCAGCGGGGCTATTTTTTTTCCCAATAATAGCTTACAATCATGTTTACAATTGACAACACAAGACAAATTAGAAATAGATTGGTAGCGATCACCCATCGATAAAAGAAAATTCATTTGAAAATAATTCTCTCTATCCTATATCTAAGAATCAATTGCGTTCTTTACTCAATGACCCAGTAGGTGGCGCTGTTGTCGTGATCCAGAAATCTCCCGTGCGACGCCGGGACGATCACTATAGTCCGTTCGCGTTAAGAAAATATTGAGTCATCAGTGCAACTACAGGGTAAAGGTGTATTCACAGTGGAGTAAAAATTTAATTAAGTTTAATGGAAACGAATTTTCTTAAAATTACTTAAATCACTAATCAGTATCGCTAGATTTTCCAGTTACATTAATTATGAAATAATTTTTTTCTGCAAGCTCCATGATGTCATCCAAATTCCACATGGTATTTTAATGTGTTAGTATCCTTTTGTTCTTTAATAATTTTATAAACAGTATTTTCGGACACACCACATGCACTTGCTGTTTTTATTACTGTGCTCTCCACAGCTGCATTTAAATCACACAGTTTAAAGTACTTATAAACATTGTAAATTACGCGTCTCTCTCCGCTATGGATTATTGGTCCACTTTTATTCTTTCGAATAGGTGAGGTATTCATTTTCAACATTTCATTTTGTTCGAAGGCCTGACTTCAACTGGTCGTTGTGAACTCGACTTTCTAATTTCTTGCATTTTAATTGGCTGGGGGGCGTGGTCAGGCCGGCGGACAACGATGACTCACTATTTTCTTAACGCGAACGGACTATAGTATTATAATAATATTAAATACCTTCTTGCTTCTCAATACTGCTCGCATTATCCGCCGGTTTGTTTACCTTTCACCCTAACCCCCTTGCCGAAGCTAGTCAAAGGCACTCACATTGTAATCAGATGGAAAGAAAGATTTGCTGAACACGAAAGACGAAGTAAACTGTTTAGTTCGAATGTATGGTTGTCGAATGGTGTAAGTGAGAAGGAAGAATCAAGTCTGATGAGAATATAAAAATAATCTAAAAAAAAAATACGTGTGGCACTCGGTGACTGCCGCGGTAAAGCTATTGCATAGCATTTTTTATCAACTTATGCAATTATAATTATTTATTTATTTTATTTATGCAGTTAAGTCTTTGATATTAAATCAAGTTACACTTTTTGAGCGTGGTGAACGATAAGAAAACAATTTTTTTTCTCTTATTGAATAAATGAGAAGTTAATATTGTTTAAAATATTTTTAATATCTTACAATACATGTAGGTTATTCAGGAATTTTTATCATTGAGTTAGCAGCTAGTGTACACGCATACGTCTAGTCGCACGCGTACAAACACCGTGCCGAAGTCTGCCGAAGTCTGGAACTAAAACGACGTTAGACGATGCACGGCTTTCAACGCCACACCTCCGTGCCCGTCGGAGTGGGGAGCGTGAGGTTTTTTCGTTACGGAATTTCTGGATTCGGTCCCCGCGCTCAAGGCCCGCGATAGAAGCTATGCAATAGCTTAAAATTATGTGTGCAGTTAAAACGCGATAAAAGTGAAATCTTCAGAAAATTAGACTGAGATAATAGGAAATACTGCATACTGCGTTTTATCTCATTCTCTCGCAAACTAAACCCTATAGATGTATATATGTTGTCTCTTTTTAGTGTTGCGTCTTCGTTTCATCGACTTTCTAATCACTATTTAAAAGAAGTTTTCACTTCAAAAACAGTGGTTGCCATGGCAAATGTCCCCCGTGTGAGGCAATATATATGGGAGGAATATGTTCAGTAGTGAACTATAAAATAGCTGCAACGTTTTTTTACATATCACAAACCAGTGCTTGACCACAATGCTACCTGGTGGTAAGTGGTGATGAAGCACCTAATCGCACTTTATTTGCGTTGTTGATGAATGAATGATGATTTTTTTATAGGCGAGAGAGCAAGGAGCATGCGGCTCGCCTGATGGTTTTTTTTATAGGATAGGGTGATAAACGAGCACATAGCCCATCTGATGGTAAGTGGTTGCTGTGGCCCATAGACATCTACATCTATACTCGATTACGAATCAAAATGCAGACGCGTTGTCACCGTGAGAACTGACCAAGATGGAATGCCTAGTTTCCAGTAAAATGGGTCTCCGGTTCTCTACACTCACCATACGAAACACAGCAGCATTAAGCTGGTATTTTACGCTGGTATTCTGTGAGAGCGTGGTCCTTCCCCGGCCGAGCCGGCCCATTAGTACTACAATTATACTACTAATATAACTGCAGCATGGCTCCACCACGTATAAAAGTGATTAATATCGCCTATGACTGCAACACCAGGGGAATTGCAGGTGCGTTGCCGGCCTTTTAAAAAGCAGTAGGCTCTTTTCTTGTAGGTCCCCAAGTCGTATCGGTCTGGAAAAATCTATGGTGGTACTTGTAGTCTAAAACTGAAGTCGTATATTGTTGACTGCTGCATTGGTTAATAGATCCTAGAGCTTTGATTTTATTTAAGTTATGAATTTTTTCTGTAAAGACATTCTGAGTATCGGCCCGGAGTCAAGAAGTTGGCGGTGTTTTACTTTCGTTAAAGTTGTTCAAAACGACTATAAATCATAGCAATAGCACGCTACAGACTATAGACTATATATTTCTAGCGCGCTATTAAATACGCTATGTTATACTAATGTTAAAGCGCGCTATTTATAAGAGAGCGTGAGGAAGCCGGCAAGCGCGTTAACTTTTGTAGCACGCTATATTTCGTAGCACGTTACATTACATGTCGTTCATTGGATAGACCGCGTGCTATATAAGAACATAATTTCGTAATAAGTCGCATTTTACACTAAAATAAAATAAAGCAGCAAAGAAAAAGCAATGAACGCTTTTTCATACCTTTCAGGCTTACAAATTCCTATAATCCTAAAAATATTTTTAAGACATGTACTTTTTAAAACGAAATAAAATTAATTACTTTTTATTATAATTGATGTAAACGTTATTTTGACCCTAATATAAATTATAAATCAAATAAAGGTGTATTTAAAAGTTTACTGATTGTATTTACAATAATCAACTATTTACATACACTATTATATACACTTTTGTATCTATATTTTATTTACATTTAAAAATATTAGTTGGGCTTCTTTTATAGCAGACAACCGTGTCCTTCGATCACTTATAAATATACACTATACACTAACTAAACAACGTCTAACACTAAATTAGTTCGCGCGCGATGAATGGCGTGTTACTAGATCAAATTTGCGTCACACATCCTCTCCCAACAACGCTGTTGCTAGAAATAGTTGCCGCTAGATATTAATACTTAATAGCGCCAAAGCGCGATAGCGAAATGGCACGCGCTATGTGTTATGGGGAAACAACGCGCTATGCGCTATATTAACCATCATTAACTCTCGTGCCTTGGAAAGTACGTATTGCCTTTCCATCGGATTATGAGAGTGAGGTAACAGAGAGTACACACGTGCTTGCGCATACACTCGGGCACTGTAAGCTTGGCAGATGGCTAGTCTTCCTTGAGGCTGGCCGCCGTCACCAAGCTTCGGTTTGAAAGAAGTGATTACGATGTTGTTGGTACTAACCGGTGGTGTGGGTGGCATCTCCCCACGAGTCTCCTCCCCACGCGTCCTCGTTGCTGGCCCACTCTGAATCTGTACGAACGATTTCGCTTTTAATGAAAAGTCTTGAGCATGATGATGATGAAAAGGAACCATAAATGATGAATAAGAAAAAAAATTAGACATCCGAAAAATAACTAAATCAATATCTGAAAAAGATTTAGACATATTCGAAAAAAAATTATACTGATAACCTTTTTTCCGTCTGGAAAAAAATAGGGTGTAACATGAGAACGAAGTAAAAGCCTATGGCACTAATATTTTGAAAGAACTTTTTTTGAACAATTACTTTGCCCTTTGCCCTTGAGCCTGTGACCCTGCGGGGCCTGTGTCCCTGCAAAGTGACAAGGTCAAAGATGCCTACTAAAATTCTTGTTTTATTGCCGTTCGTAAAGTAGGGTGGATATGATTTGAATATTGATAGATTTTAATTAATTAATTTAATAAAAAAACTGTTTTTATTTTTAGTAAAATATCAGTGCCATAAGGTTATACTCTGTTCACATGTTACGCCCTATTTTTTCCATCAATAAAAAAGGTCATCCGGTATAGATATCTGCAGCATCATATTAATGATAACAACTCAATATTATAATAAACTGCGGATGTCCACCAGCTTGCCAAACGTAGCAACTGTGGTAAAATCCCTCCATGAGGCTATATATGTGGGAGGCCTATGTTCAGAAGTGGACTTTAAACAGGCTGTAATGATGAATATCTGAAATAATGGTTGGATGTAATAATCAATATTAAATAAAAATTATTTTATTTTATTCAATTTTTTTTTGGAAAACTTACATAACATTAACAGTAAATAAATGAATAACAACGAGAAGGCCATTTAAAAGTTTATAACTATAAACAATATGAACTCACAAACAATAATTCCAGTACACTAAAACGGGGTGAATAGAAACAAGTCCGGTTATTTGATAAAGTTGTCTCTAGGTCTTTCTACAGATCGAGAACGTGTGTTTATTTCTACTGCTTATTATATGCTAACATTTTTCCTTTATTTTAGCAACCTTGAAAAACCTAGAGACAAGTTTATCAAAAAAGGAGACTTGTTTCTATTCACCCCGCGATTTCTATACACAAAAAATAAACATTGATTAAGACAAACAGTAAATCAGCAAAATTCAAAAGAAGAACACTCAACAAAGATTCTTTTCGCTAAAATATTTTTGAATCGAGAAACATTGATATTAAATACATCCAAGTCAATACTATTGGATTTCTCATTAAAAGTTCAGTAGTATTCTGTGGTCGTTATTGGTCTACAAATATCAGATAAGGTTAACAACTTCCAAATCAGGAAAAAAAAAACAAAAATAATAGATGTAAGAAGAAGAACAAGACTACTGAAATGGCACTGGGCAGGACACATCTGTAGAATGAATGATAACAGGTGGACCAAACGTTTAACAGAATGGATATACCAAGAGACAGGAAAAGAAAAAAGGGGAGACCTAGTAAAAGGTGGAGAGATATTTTTAATCAAAGATATGGACTCCTATGGATGCGAGTGGCTCGGGAAAGAGATATGTGGAAAGGTTTAGAAGCCTACGCCGCAGAGGCGACTACTACTAACATTAACTAAGTCTATATATATATATATATATATACATACATAATTATACGTAAAACAATCCATATTAACTATTAATAAGTCAAGTTTGAAGTATTGTAGTAGAAATAAAGGCTATTTTATTTATTTATAGTATTCTGTGGAATGTAGTAACTCACCCGCATTCCAGGCCTGTTCAGCGGGCGCCGTGCTCCTCTTCTCCACGAACTCCTTCTTCTTCTCCTCGTAGAGTCGCCACACTCGCTCGCACTTGTCGCCCAGCTGGCTCACGCTGGCCGTCAGCTCCGACAGCTGTTTCTGGTTGCTCTCCAGGTCCGACTTCTTCGTTTCCACGAGGGCCTTCGCAGCTTCCACCTGCCAATGAGAAGTAGAAAATTATTTATTTATTTCTTCTCTATTGTACATCAACATACAGAAATCGAGTGGAGTACAATTTAAAGTATACTGCTGTAAAATTTAAAGTATACTGGTTATCTTTTTTTTCTAAAAATAAATGCGCCGTAACAGGTAAACGGAATAAAAGCCTATGGCACTAGTATTTAAAAAAAATTCTTTTACATTAACTTATTATGAAAGTGATCTACCAAAATATATATATATATAAATACTACTACATAATTAGAAACAAACTTTCGGTAATAAAAATAATAAAAACAAAATGTTGAACTACCTAAATAAATCAATTACAAACTATAGAAATGGAAATAATACGCATCCAATTAGTAGTATTTATTGATAAATCAATTTCATATGTTAATGTAAAAGACAAAAAATGTAAAATATCAGTGCTATAGGCTTCTATTTCGTTCACGTGTTACACCCTATTTTCTTCCAGACGGTAAAAAGATCATCCAGTATATAGAACAGGCAGTCTTATCACTCTTGAAAGTGATCACTTTCAGACAACCTTTACGTTGAGGTTTGATGCAAACAATGGTTAAAATAGAAGGAATACAACCCCCGGTATATAAAAAATACCCACACATATAACTATAGATTTGTCCAAATTATATCTAACATGATGAAGTATATAAATGAGAAGAGTACAAACAAGTATATTTTAAAAATTAAAAAAAAACACAAAAAACTTTTTTCATATTCTTGCATTGTCATCCGAATTTGAGCTATATTCGAAGTTTAGTTTCCAGATCATCGAGAAAATAGTTTAGAATCAATTACATAAATTCTATTCAGAACGATAGACAGCCAGAAAAACAAGAAAGTGACTCAATAAAAACGTGGTAAAAAAGTAAAGTAATTGGAAGCGTCACGCTGTAGCTACATTATGATTGTAGTATTAATGGGTCGGCTCGACCGGGGTAGGACTAAGCTCTCACAGAATACCAGCGTCAAATAGCAGCTTAATGTTTCGTATGGTGAATGTTGAAATCTGGAGACCCTTTTTACTGGAAACGAGGTATTTCATCTTAATCCTCAGTGGTGACGACGATCTGCATTTCGATTCTAAATCGAGGATAAATGTAGATGACAATGGACCACAGCATCCACGTACCGTCAGGTGGACTGTGTGCTCGTTTGTCATCCTTATTCTATAAAAAAGACAAGTCCAGCAGTGTGCATTAGAAGTTAGATGTAAATGGTGGGTTAAGTTAGGTTAAATGTAAAGAATACAATAATTTTTTTATTCAATACTAGCGATGTTGTCCGGCTTCCCACGGGTTGTTTTTTTAATCTCAACAACAGTGTCACCTACCAGGTCCAAATACGAATTTAAACCATCTAAGTAGTAGGGACCCATTCAAACACACAAAAAATCATCAATATCGGTCGAGCTTTTTTTGAGTTTCACCGATACTAACGGATAGAAATTGATTTTTATATATAAAGAAGATAGATTATACACAATTCTTATTGAAGGTAATTTTAATTTTTTTACTTTACCACCGGTTTGGAAAAACCTGACATTACCTTGAAGGGTGCAAACGAAACGTCGGGGATAGAAAATAATTTAACATATGCGATAAAATCCGTAAAAACTAGTTTTATTTAAATGTGTAGTTATCGGTTGGTTCCAAAAACTAAACGGTCAGCCCATTTTTTACATTACTGAATTGTTGTCTACTATACTATAACTTTACTTATACATGATTCCAAAATGTTCCACTGACGTACCTTATCCCGAAGCTGCTTCAAAGTGATCTCCATCATGTTCAGTTTTCCATCTTCACCAGCGCCCTCCGACGCCTTGGCCTTCGAAAATAGAAATAACAATTATATAAAATATGAATGGTACTAGACCCAACATGTAACCTTGGGGCATCCTTATTAAATGTTACTTCTGAGTCAAATAAAAAGACAAATCGACCGTTGTTATAAGTACTTATAGTTATTATTACATTTTTTTTTTATAAAATTGAAGTGACAAATGAAGTTACAGTCCACCTGACGATAAGTGGCTATCTTGAAGCTGAGAAGGCTACAGATGTGTTGTCATGTTTGAGAACTAAGACGGAATGCCTCATAGTAGGGATGGCGATTCTTTCCGAAAAAGATCGATTTTTAAATCGATTCAAATCGAAATCTGATGAATCGATTCACAAAAAGTCGTGGTCTAAAAGACCGATTTCTCAAAAATCGATCTTTCTTCGATTTGCTTTCAGAGTTTATATTTACAATGTCAAAAGATACAACAAAGTACAGAAAGATAAAACAAAGTACAGAAAGGCGAAAGAAACTGAGCACACAGTATTTTTGCGTGTTTTGAATAGAAAAACTGTCATTATTTACGAGTTTGAGTACATTCAACTAATTGTAAATGATTTTATAGTTCTTATAAAAACAGAAAAAGATTCTATCTCGATTTTCTAGGGTGAAATATCGTTTCAGTACTATTTAAATCGATCTTTTTAGCACAAGAAATCGTTTCTTCGATTAATCGATCTCAGATCGCCATTCCTACCTCACAGCGTGTAATTATGCTGGCTGTGTAAGAAAGAGAGATTCAGAGAGACAGAAAGAGAGTTCTACCACCTAATAAAGAGAAACTAATTCTTACCTTCGCTTCCAATTCCGCCTTCTCCTTGTTCAGGGCGATTTGTTTAGCGTTCAGCTCCTTCACTTTGGCCTTCAGTTGTTGCATTTCTGCCATGCTGGCGTCGCGGTCAGATCTAGAACGAGTTTTAAATAATACTAGCGAGTTGCTTGGACGTTAAATTTCTTCTTAATTTTCTAAGGTTAAACATAACATACATACACACTTACGCCTGTCACCCAGAGAGGTAGGCAGAGACTACAGACTTCCATTTGGCGCGATCCTGACTTGTCTCTCTCGCCTTCTTCACATCTATATACCTACACATACACATATACCTACACATATATGCTCGTCGGTTAAGGGTACTCCTAATTTAGCCCATTTTGAATATATCTCCAAATTTGACCGATAAAATTTCGCATATGACGTCTTTTTCCTACTCTTCCGTTCACTTCTGCAACATAAATTTGATTTGTCACTATTTCCTCATTCATTTTCTTTCTACATGACCAAAACACGGAAGCATTTCTTTCTTAATCTTGGTCGCAACAACATCTTGCAAACCACACTCTTCTTTTGTCACACAATTTCTCACCCTATTACTCAGATTCAACCCCAACATACTCCTTAACGACTGCATTTATTCTACTCACGTGCTTCTTCTGCCACACCCAACTTTCACTACCATACATTAAAGTAGGGATTAACACAGAATTGTGAATTGCCATACGTGCCTTTTTTGACACATTCTGACTTTCCACAATAGAGTGTAGAGCCCTATTTACTTTATTTCCTGCGTTCACTCGTCGTTCTATATATCCTTATCATATCTCTCATCCCTGTTGAATACATATCCCAAATATACAAACTCATGTACTTGCTCGACCAACTAAGATTATATTTCTAAGATTAAGATGATAAAAATTTATTAGCTAAGATGGCTGACCGCTAAGTTCTTAGCGGAAAACTCATACAGATCGCTGGTTTCTATATGAAAAGGTACTGATTGTGTTTTAACTTAACAGTAATAAGGGTTATAACTATAAGTTATCAGCTAAAAATAATTTATCAAAGCTTACCTCATGCCATCGATGGTACATTTCGCCGCGGCAACGCTAGTGCGCGTATCCCGGATGGACTTGGCCAAGTTGGAGGCGCGTTGATTTGCAGTCCCTAAGGAAGCGGCCAAGGAAGCGCTTCGTGCTTTCAATGCGAGCACCTTGGCCTGTTCCTCAGCCCGCAGGGCTTCCAGCTCGCGAGTCCTAGACACAGGTTTTATTTCAATCTTTTTCTCACCAGATGCTGCTAGATGTGACTGAAGTGAAGTTTTTTTTTATAGGATAAGAGTGACAAGCGAGCACACAGTCCGCCTGATAGTAAATGGTTGCTGTGGCCTATAGATATCTACATATATCCTCGTTTGCGATTCAAAATGCAGATGCGTTGTCAGCCTTGAGGACTAAGATGAAATGCCTCGTTTCCAGTAAAAAGGGTCTCTGACTGCTAAACATTGGTACGTGGAACATCTCAGTCCCCTGTAATCATGGGTGCTGTAAAGTGCTCGAAAAGTCGAGAATTTAAAATAAGTCAATATACGCGATAAAATCCATACAACTTAGTTTCATTTAAACGTGTAATGTTCACAAAAACAATATTTTCCAACTTGACACTGGCAAGTGCTAATCGTGCCAGTCTAAAACTAAAGAAAGAAAAAAGTGAGAAACAAATTAAACTCACCGTTTCTTCTCCCACTCCAGTTGGCATTGTCTCTCCATTTCCTTTCGTGCTGCTTCTCTCTTTTCCTATTAACACATTTAATTTTGAAGGGTTTCTATATTAAGTTTGTTTAAAACTTACTATAAATCTTTAGACACATCAAATTCAGTGTTATAGGTAGTTATAGGCATTTATAACCTACTTTTTTTGAATTTGGTCAGGGTCCATTCAAATAATAAAATTCATATTGTTTTCAAGTTTTGCACGTTTCACGTCATTAGACGTAGCAGAGTCACATTGGATCTCTATTAGGATTGTAGCTTGAACGGGTCTGCTTTACCAGGGAAGGACCACGCTCTCACAGGATACCAGCGTAAAATAGCTGCTTAATGGTGCCATGTTTCGTGTGGTGAGTGTAGAGAACCAGAGACCCTTTTTACCGGAAAAGAGTCATTCCGTCTTAGTCCTCAGGGGAGATAACGCATCTGCATTTCGATTTTTTTATGGGAGGTTAGTAGTAGATGTCTATGGGCCACAGCATCCACCTACCATCAGACTGTGTGCTCGTTTGTCACGCTTATTCTATAAAAAATGTCACTAGAGATATACATGTGGCGCCCGGCAAGAACTATCAGGGTTTATTTTGCCCTTTCTTCTAATTAGTTAATGTTTCAGAATGCTCCTGGCGGCTAGGCCGAGCTCATAACACATCCTTAATCTGCCTTAGTAAGGACTCTTCTATTTTCATGCGTTTTATTAGTGTCAGATCGTTAGCCAACGGGGTGTGTGGGTAAAAGTTCCAATAGTGTATGCTATGAGATTTTCCCCTTTCAGGGTTGCCCATATTTGTTCGGGCGCAAAAATAAATGGTTGCGTCAACGCACACCCTTGCATTTCCAAAGTCCGCCACGTGCCACGTCCGCCATTTTGTTTTGGTTCGTTTTGAACTATGCTAATACAGTCCACTTATTCGTTCGTTCCGCCATATCTTTGGTCACTTTTCGCGCAATAATCTAAATCCCATAATGTTCTATATTTAAAAATCAGTTGCTCTCTCTTAAACTCAATAACGGCTCGTACGATATTGATGAAATTTTTTGTACATTCACATTTGGACTCGATAGGTGGCCACTTTCGAGAATCAGAAATCACTCATACGAAACCGATCGCTTGTTAGGAATATAATGTAGCCGATGCCTTTTTTCTACCATTTATCAATCATTTACAATCTACATCTCTTCTGCTGAATTTAGGCCTCTCCCATTGATTTCCTCACAGGGGGGAATTTTGCCATAGTTGACATGCTGACAATCGGATTAGCACTCGCAGTTTTAACATTTTTAGTAGTTAGAAGGAAGTCGCTTCTGCCTATTACATTTCCTTCTTCTTTAATTTATTTATGTACACACAACAAGATACAGTAACAGTCTTATAGTAAGTTCGTACAAAGGTTCTACTTATTCTATAATTTGCTGAAATATCTTCAAGTAATTTCATAAAGGAAAATATATTGAAATGGCAAACTTATAACTTATAACATACATTACTACTACTAATGAATAAATAATATACAAAATGTATTGTTAAATAAAAATAAAATAAATCAATACATAAAAATAATAAATACTATAGTTACATATAATATAAATAAACTAATACTAATATAATAAAGTAATATATATTTATTAACAGGATGCAAAGAAGTTATCTCTAACACGTTTATTTAATACCAATAAAAATACATTTAAATTATAATAACATTTACTTAGTAGAACTGTTAAGCTATTGCATAGCTTCTATCGCGGGCCTTGAGCGCGGGGACCGAATCCAGAAATTCCGTAACAAAAAAAAACCTCACGCTCCCCACTCCGACGGGCACGGAGGTGTGGCGTTGAAAGCCGTGCATCGTCTAACGCCGTTTCAGTTCGGCTTCGGCCTCCAGACTTCGGCACGGTGTTTGTGTGCGTGCGACTAAACGTATGCGAGTACACTAGCTGCTAACTCAATGATAAAAATTCCTGAATAACCTACATGTATTGTAAGATATTAAAAATATTTTAAACAATATTAACTTCTCATTTATTCAATAAGAGAAAAAAAATTGTTTTCTTATCGGTCACCACGCACAAAAAGTGTAACTTGATTTAATATCAAAGACTTAACTGCATAAATAAAATAAATAAATAATTATAATTGCATAAGTTGATAAAAAAATGCTATGCAATAGCTTTACCGCGGCAGTCACCGAGTGCCACACGTATTTTTTTTAATATTATTTTATATTAGGCAGGGTTTTCTAAGAATTATAAATAATTCGGTAGATTTGGTTGTAAATTTTGATTCAGAGTGTGTGGATGGATAGATGGAACCTCTAAAAACATTTTTTTACCTTTTTTACCTATTATACTACTTACCCAAACCTATTTATTAAAAAAATAATAACAAGCTGTAATTACCTGTTCTTCCTTTTGCTTTCGTTGCAACTCCTCTTGCTCTCTCTTCAACGCTTCCAAACGCAGCTTCTCCTTTTTTTCCGCTTCTTCCCGCTCCTTACGCTCTCGTTCAGCCTAAACAATTAGTTCCAGCTGTCTTTCTCATTTTTTTACTAATTATAAAGCAGTGCTTACATCGTCCCATATTGATCTGGGACTCAAAATAACAACTATGTGTTAATTGCCTAAAGTTCCGTAAAAAACAATTAACAAAAACTGTAACTGGACTCTGCCTACCCGCTCGAAGATTACTGGCGTGACGCTTTGTATGTATGCAATGCAAGCTTGCATACAACCCTATCCGAGTAAGTAGCGATGAAACCCTGGTTGGTATGTCGCACGGTCTTAGTGCAAGAAATCCTATCTATTCTTGCCTCGAAGATACCCACATTATGTTCGTGCGGAAAGACAGATGCCGAAAAATTGTTTCACTCCTTCGCTGTAGGCATTACGAAAGACGAATTATACAGTTTCGCTCGTAGAATACTATATACACAATAGAATGGCTGTCAACCTTATTTTGTACGAGGGTTGGCGCCGCCGGAAGCAATAACGTAGTATTATCACTACTACAAACCCGATTCGCTGTGTTGACAGACAGATTTTAATACATATTTATTTATTAATAGCGTGCAATTTGGCATTTTCTGAATAATTTGCATGCGAAATTTGGAAACGATTGTAACGTCAAAACACTTCTCGTGTTGACATTTATAAGTGTGAATTGAAGTCTTAGTGACATTTTAGTGGCTACACAGTCTCCGCCTACTCCCCTGTTCTATTATGTATGTATTATAGTATTCTACGTTTATTATTTACAATTGTTAAATACCCCTGTGCATGATTTGTAATTTGTATGAGAGAAGAGGAAACGGCGGCCGACTGGTGTGTCCAGAGGTTGCCGCACCGACCAGGGGTCATCGGCCACTTAAAGTGCTTTTTTTCTAATGTTAAGTGGTAATGTAGCCAAAGATGGTGAAGCGCACTGGCTTAACAAAAGTCTATTCACTCTTGCCTCTTTCCTCACACTAGTGTCGCCCAAATGCAAGAATAAAACGAGACTTAGCCATTCTTGGTCTTGCTAAAAGTAGGCGGTCTTGCTCTTGCACAAGTGCAAGAATAAGACCAAGACTACAAGACCAAGACGGATTTTGGTCAACACTACCTCACACTGTAATCTGATGGAAAGACAGATGCTGGCAACTTATTCCACTCCTTTGCTGTACGAATGATGCAAACCGTTTGGTTTGAATGCGGGGTAAGTCGACGATACATGGGTGGAGACTGGCCAAGCGTCTAGTTGTCCGATGATGGAAGGGTGAGGGAAGAATTAAATAAAACCGAAAGCCTAGCTACTTTGACCTTGTGTTGAGGCTGGTGACATTTGTTTTAACCAGATTCGGGTCACCAGAAGCTCGCGCTTTTTCATTGAGCCTAGCTGGAATGCTAGGTGGAATTTTGAAACACCAGCACATATATGGCAGTAATACTCCATGCTAGACCACACTTGCGCTTTATATAGAGTAAGCAACTGTCTTGGCGTGAAGCACCGCTGCACTTTTGCAAGAGCTCCTAGCCTCCTTGCGACTACTGTAGCCTTGGACTCAATCAACTGCACGAAGTTCAGATTTGAGGATATCTCAACCTTGACAACTGAACGCGCTCGGTGTGTTCCAGTGGTACTTTTTGCAGTGAAGATACCTTCTTTTTCGAACTGGATCCGATCTCGACTGGCCCAAGCTCTTGGTGGATATCGCTCCACAACAGTGCTGTCCTCTGAATACCCATACTGATGTTGCTTTTTCGGGACAGGAGATTTTATGGCTCGAATAATTCGCGACTACGAGCAATCTACCTAGGACATCACCGAAGAAACTTAGCGAATTTTGACGAAGCAATTGTGTACTTGCTGTGCCCGTGGAAGAATACGTCAATTTCTCATCTTAACAATTTATTTATTTTTAAAATATTAACGACCTTTTCAAACGTTTGGTCCTTCTGCTTTGACTTTAGTTTTCTGTAACGCACTTAAAACGTCGAGAATTGACTTCATAGTAATTTCACAGAAAATTACAACACAAAACTACTGAGGTTCTCAATAAGGCAACAGGCATATTAACATGTTTTCTTTAGTAATCTTACAAGGTATGTGAAGGTAATATGGTCATCTTAAGCTTTGCCGCCCTGTAAAACCAAAACTAAGAGGACACAAATAGCAAACAAGCTTTGGAAATCATTAGGAACACTTCGAAAAATGAACTTAAAAATACTAACTACACTACATAATACTAAAATCGACTAAAATACTTACTATAATGTTAACTATCAAAATAGCGTCGATAAAGCATTGTCCTTTTGACCCTTTATTATTTGGTTGACCGATGAAGAGCTACGTATAACAATGCCATCTATGCAAACAAGGCTGTAGTTTTTGAGTTATAAGAAAGTGAGTATATACATCGGATGTCCATATTAGCCTCAAGTACTACATATTAAAAATCAATTACTGCGCGTTAGTCTCACTAAAACTCGACGATTTTGATGATGTGACACTGTTGTCGAAATCTCGAAATTAGGGATGGGCCGAACACGGATTTCACCGAATACGAATATTCGGCCGAAAGTTCGGTAAAACTTTTACCGAACGGAATATTCGGCCGAACATTATTCGGCAAGACCACGTCGGTACCTAACCAAAACTTCGAAACTTGTTACCGTAAAGCGCGCGGGATTAGCGCCGGACCCTGCCACTCACTCCCCCGCCACACCTGACATGCCTTTGTATCATCATCTTGTACTGAGCAAATTGCCCGCGCACATGCTTATGCTTTGACTATTTTTGTGCGAAAAAAAATTCGTAGTGTTATTTTTAGTGAAAATTGATAAAAATGAGTGGCAGGAGATCTACTATTTGGATTTATTTAAAAAAAAACTGACAACCAAAGTAAATTGAAATTTCCTAATGTAATGTAATGTTTCTTTCTTTGATTCCAAAAAACATTTCATCAAGCTGTCTATTTGCTATAATTGGAAATAAATCTACAGTGCCTCAAAAACATAATGCTATACAAATATATTTAACCCATAAATAAAATATACTTTCAATAGTAAAATTATGAAAGACATGGCTTTACTCAATTCGTACATTTCAATACAGTGGACACTGAGTATACTACTTTACCGAATGTTCGGTGATTTAGCCGAATATTCGGCCGAATACGAATATTCGGTAAAGCTGCCGAATACCGAATATTAAACGAATATTCAGCCCATCTCTACTCGAAATCACTTCATCATCAATTTTATATATTATACACGCGTAAGAAGCGAGAGCTGTCATGATCTAAATTAAAGTACGTAGTCTGTCTGTCCGCCTGCATCCTAGAGCGACAGCCTTGAGTTTATGTATCAGTAGTATTCTAAAGAGTAACATGAAAAGAGTAGAGAGCGAGACAGGAGTGAAGAAAGGTGTGGGGGTAGCGTTGCCAGGCGTCCGGATAAAGCTGGACACAGTCTGGCTTTTTGGTTGGGTGTCCGGCCAAATTAGACGGCGTCCGGCCTATCCGGCTTTTGTTAGGCTTTATATATTTGTACCATTTTGTTTACATTTTTCATGTTGAAAAAAATACATACATACATACTACTGCAATTATGGAATTTAATATTGTAATGAATATTGAGGATTAATAATAAAAAAGACTGATTAATTAAATTTTATTGTTATTTCATTAGAATTTAAGAAGACTTTATGGTAAATGACAAAAGCATTGTTTTACTTTAAAAAAAATTTATCGTGTATACTAGGGATGGGCCGAATATGGATTTCACCGAATACGAATATTCGGCCGAATATTCGGTTAAATTTTTCCGAACCGAATATTCGGCCGAACATTATTCGGCAGGATAACATCGGGACTTAACCATTATCATTAATCTTATGTCGAAACTTGTTACCGTAAAGCACACGGGATTAGCGCCGGACCCTGCCTCTCGCTTCCCGCCACGCCTGACATGTTATTGCATTATCTAGTACCGAGCAAATTGCCGGGACATGCTTATGTTTTGACTATTATTGTGATAAAAAAGTATTTCGTTGTTTTATTCTTAATTAAAGTTAAAGTTATAGCCTATATACGTCCCACTCCTGGTCACAGGCCTCTGCTCATTTCTGAGAGGGTTATAGTAGGGCAAGGAATTGTCCACCGCACTGCCCCAATATGCTTGTTGGCGAACTTTACGTGCCTTCGAAATAATTTTTTTCTTATTTCTCAGACATGCAGGTTTCCTCACGATGTTTAATTTTTCCTCAAAATTTTTGTAAATCAGCACTTAAAATTGCAATTAATAATTTCATTGGTGCCAGCGGGGATCAAACCCGATTTAGTCGTGCACTGTGAAATTTACAGCGAGCGCTAACCATCTGACCTACCATAGCTCTTTATTCTTAGTGAATAAGGTAAAGAGCCGTAAGAATTTTATTCTTAGTGAAAATTGATAATTATATGATAAAAATAAGCGGCAGGAGATTTACTATTTGGACTTATTTTAGAGAAACTGACGACCAAAGTATAGTGAAATGTACTAATGTAATTTAATGTTTCTTTGTTTGATTCCAAAAACATTTTATCAAGTTTCTATTTGCCATAATCCATAAAAGATTTATGCATTTCAGGAGTAAGTAGATTAAACCCATAAATAAAATATACGTTCAACAGTAAAATACATCGCATTACTCAATTCGTACATTTCAATACATTGGACACTATGAAAATGTTCGGTTCGAATGTTCGGTGATTTAGCCGAATATTCGGTAAACCTGCCGAATACCGAATATAAAACGAATATTCGGCCCATCTCTAGTGTATACTACGACTGAAACATTAAGGGTGTCCGACCTTTTTACCAAAATGTCCGGCTAAACTGGCTGGTCTGTCCGGCTTTTCGGTTTTAAGACCTGGCAACCCTATGTGGAGGGGGGGGATTACTTTTAAAAGAGGATTACATCGTGTCTATGTCTACATTTAGCTCCATTATTCTACAGAAGTTCTACATTTCTTTCTAATAACTACAAATTACCTCTTCTTCCTAGTGGGCAGTGGAAATAAAAGAACATTAAAATACATTTTATACACTTTTTCTACGCCGTGTGTTGGCGACGTAAAAGAATATACGTCGTAGAGCCATGCTGCATTTATATTATATTTGCAGGACGAAAGGGTCGAATCGACCAGTGTAGGACCACGCTCTCATAGAATACCAGCACAACATGGCAACTTTTTACTGGAAACATGCATTTGCATTTTGATAATTAATCGAGGATAAATGTAGATGTCTATGGCCCACAGCTTCCACTTACCATCAGGTGGACTGTGTGCTAATTTGTCATACTAGTTCTTACAAAAAAAGAACTTATGAGGTGATGAATTATAAACGACTATTGAAAATGTCAGTAATATATAAAATAGAGTTATAACCATCTCGTTTATACCAGAAAATTCCCGGACCAGTTACGGGCGGCAGGGTAACAGGAGCTAACATCTGGTGCTGAGGTCCTCAACCCAAATGCTAAGCGTGACAATTACGTGGTAGAGCCACGCTGCAGCTATATTATAGTTGTAGCACGAATGCGTCGGCTCGATCGGGGCAGGACCACGCTCTCACAGAATATCAGCGTAAAATAGCAGCGTAATGCTGCTGTGTTTCGTATGGTGAGTGTAGAGATCTGGAGACCCTTTTTATTGGAATCGAGACATTCCATCTTAGTCCTCAGGGGTGACAAAGGATTTGCATTTTAATCCTTAGTTGAAGATAAATGTGTATGTCTATGGGCCACAGCATCCGCTTACCGTCAGGTGGACTGTGTACCCATTTGTCACCCAATGCTATAAAAAATATTAAGGCAAAACTTCCATACAACAGAAGAGGCACATATACAGAAGTAAACCTTTATTACCCGATGAAGATAAAGATGCATGGACTTTCCATAGTGGCATCATCCATTCAATGCGGCAGGTAACCTCACTTGGAAGCTTTTTGGTTCCGCATGCTAGCCAGAATGGTTTACAGTTTCAAAAGTTAACTTTTTTTTATAAAATAAGGGTGATAAACGAGCATACAGTCCTTATGGTAAGTGGATGCTGTGGCCCATAGATATCCACATCTATTCTCTCATCTTAAAGAACTAAGATAAAATGCTTCGTACCCAGTAAAAAGGGGTCTCCGGTTCTCTCCACAGACCATAAGAAATGCAGCAATATGAAGCTACTATTTCACGCTGGTGTTCTGTGAGAGCGTGGTCCTTCCCCGGTCGAGCCGACCCATTAATACCACAAATACCAAACTTACCTTCTCTTTCATATGAGCATCGGCCAGCTGGGACCGCCTCCTCTCCAATTCCGCCTGACCCCTAGCCATGTTCTCCCTTCTTCTCTCTTCGTAGGACTGAGCACTGCTTGTGCTTGTTACCGATTCACGCCTGGAATAAAAGATTAAGTTACAGCCTATATGAGACCCACCACTGAGTACAGTCTTTCTCTCATTTCTGAGTTTTCTTTTTTACTTATTACAAGCCAGTGCTTCACCACTATATATATATATATATATATTGCGGGGCCAGGGACCATCTAATCAGTAGTCGCATTCATGACCATTAGACCAGAAGCAGTCAGGCTTCCCATAGAAGGCAGTATTTTTCTTTATTTATTTGCTTTAGGCAACAAAGGTCCATTGTGTGTGTCGCTGAATTCTTCCTAAACAATTGGACCGATTTTGATGAATTTTTGTGTGGGATTAAAAGTTGATTCGAAAATTGTCTAGATTCACAATTAGATCCAGTATGTGGCACTTTTGTTGACATAAAAAAAGACCAAAAATCGCTGTATTTCATTTTCAACTCAATTATAAAACGCACATATCTTATAAGTAAAATATAAAATAAACGCATGTTTGCCTTGATATACACTCCAGACTGTTGAATAAAGAAAGTTTAGAATCACACAAAATTTAAAGCTCTTTTAGTCACTGTTAGTAATTATTTGTTGGCAACTTTTAAATTCTTTTGCAAGATAAAATAGTGATTATGTACTCTTTGGTGACAATTTCTACTATGTGCACCTGTTTAATCACAGATTATCATGTGTGGATACTTACACTACCAGCATGAACGTAATCAATGAATGTTTTATTTAATTTAAATAAATGTGTTTTGTAACGCAAATATATAATAATTTTAAGTGTCTGCACTCCTCCGTATTCACTTTAACTATGCCCAATCTCACTCTCCTCTGAGTGTGCAATATGCTTAAAAAAAGAGTTACAAAGTTCCCTTCACATATTAATATAGATATAGACATGTGTATTAATACTATACACTACTATTTAGTTTACACTAGGTGTAAAATACACAAATCAGCGACGAGAAGCAGAGTCAAAAGTTCTCACGGTATTGCTTATAGAGAAACCATTAATAACAATGCACGCATCTAGCCATACCAAAAAGATAAGTCGTCGAACGCTGTACCTGAATGTAGGCGGTATCAACTCCAGTGGCAGCTTAGCAGGAATTGGATCCCCGTGGGTCGCCCTCTCGCACAGATACATAGCAAGGACAAACTCCTCGCAACCTGGACGGGACAAGAGAAAGTGTGAATACCTCGCTGCTGAGAAAGTTTAAAAGTAATTGAAAGAGATAGAGAATTTTTGGATAAAGGTCCAGCATATTATAACCAATAGAATTAGGCGCTACTTTAGAAAACCCACTAGTAAAATATTTTAAAAATTATAATATCTGTATAATAAAAGTTTTTGTTTTATAGAATGTGGGTGACAAACGAGCACATAGTCCATCTGATGGTAATTGGATGATGCGGTCCATAGACATCTACATCCATCCTCAATTAAGAATCAAATTGTATATACATTGTCACGCCTGAGGATTAAGATGGAAGCCTCGTTTCCAGTAAAAAGTGTCTCTGGTTCTCTACACTCACCATACGAAAAACAGCAGCATTAAGCTGCTGTTTTACGCTGGTATTACGTGAGAGAGTGTTCTCTACACTCAATAAACTATACCATATTCCCTTTTAATAATTAAACCTGTTTTTTAGGGTTCCGTAGTCAACTAGGAACCCTTATAGTTTCGCCATGTCTGTCTGTCCGTCCTCGCTTAATCTCTGTGACCGTTAGCACTAGAAAGCTGAAATTTGGTACCAATATGTGCATCAATCACGCCGACAAAGTAGTAAAATAAAAATTTGAAAAAAATGTTTTATTAGGGTAGCCCCCCCTATATGTAAAGTGGGAAGTGAGTTTTTTTTAATTTCAACCCTAACGTGTGATATATTGTTGGAAAGGTATTTAAAAATGAATAGGGGTTTACTAAAATAATTTTTTGATAATGTCAATAATTTCGGAAATAATCGCTCCAAAAGTAAAAAACAATGTGTCCCCCCCCACTAACTTTTGAACCATAATTTTAGAAAATATGAAAAAAATCTGAAAAGTAGAACTTTATAAGGACTTTCTAGGAAAATCATTTTGATGATGGATGGAAACAACAGTACCCACTACCGGGAGCAGTTGCAGGAGCGCGGAGCGCTGCTGGAGCGGGAACATAATGGATACCCACCTTTAAACTCATAAGTGGGAACACTAATTGTGACGGACGGGAAACTACGGAACCCTACACTGAGCGTGGCCCGACACGCTCTTGGCCGGTTATTTATCTTTAGATTTTTCTTATTTAAGTACATAATTTATTTGAATAGTTCTAATTTGCATTGTATTGGATGATATTTGTACTCCAAATTAACCCAAAATTGCACGACTCAATCTGTGAATGTTATGTACACTTGTTATTGATGTACATATCAGGGAGTATAGAAATGTGTGTGTTTTCGTGATTGTCATATATGTATGTATTTTAAGTGTACTTGTTAAATAAAATAAATAAATACTAAACTCAGCAGCATTATGATGTTTCCCCCTCCCCCTTCCCGCGGTCGGTAAAATAATTTGTGCTGCAGTAATAGTACGCTACAGCTAGTCTCTACCAGGTATCGAACACCCGATGCCATGTTGTTCGTGTCTAGGTCAGCGTGTAGCGAGTTAATTTTTTTTAAATTTATTCTTGTTTATAATGTCCTCAAACTGTGTAGTGTCGGTGTAAGAATATCCACTATACAATATTGTCCCGTGGGTGTCGTAAGAGGCGACAGAACGAAACAGAAGCAGGAGATGGGCAGCAGGACCTCCCTGGTAACAACTAAAATTATAAACACTACCGTTGCTAACCGTGGCAGCCCGCCTGCCAAGCATGGTAACTATGACGAAATCCCCTCTATGAGTCAATAAATAGGTGAAGGTCCATGTGTTCAACGGTTGTATTTTTTGAGTCTTAAGAAATATATTCAACAGATCTTTTGATTAATCTTAAATTTTGAGTTTTATGATATTTTGAATAACAATTCATTGATCAATAATTGCAAGTTTTTGCGAATGTCAAATTATTTCATAATTATATAAAACACAATACATTATTTACATAATATATAAATATAATTTATATTGTATATATAGTATATATACACAATACCAGTTTACTAAAAAGGTGTGGTTACTATTGCCATCTTTAAGGTTTCCCGTGGATTTCGAACAAATAAACATAATATAACAAATTAGGCTGTCGCATAGACAGAGGTCTTCGATAGGTTGTAATGATAGTCATGTATAGGCTGTATGTATGTATATAAAATGTGCTCCAGACCAAACTTCGGTTACGGCGACCAGTTTCAACGGAGACTGGCCCAAAGGCACTATAATTAAGTTTAATTGGTGTTTCACCACCGTGCGTCGAAAAGTACGTAAAGCCGTTAGTCCTGCGCCTGATCTCTCTCCGGTCGTGTCTTATAGTTACAAAGTTCATTCGTTGACCGCTCCATATACTATCAATGCTTGGATATGAGTTAAATAACGAATTCTTAGTCCGGTAGCTGATAATTTGTTAAATTTTTTATATATCAATGTTAATGATTTTTTGTTATACTTATTGCAGAAAAATTGTCGTGAAAAACATTGCGGGTTGGTTTAACAAACGGCTGGCTTTAAAATAAAGTTGCCATACTTGCATTTTTCCTTTCTACTGATCGAACCCTATCAAATAAAAATATGTTTACAAGAATTTTCAGAATTTTTTTCTACCATATTTACTTAAAAAAAACTATGAGTTTATTATAGCCATATTAATAGTTTATTATAGCTCTGATATAATATATTTTTCTCCTAAAATTTTAAGACTACCTGGGATAGACTATGAGAGTGAGGGTACACAGTACAGAGTACACCTGTGCTTACATACTCGTGCACTATAACACTGCGCAGATAGCCAGTCTTCGTTGAGACAAGTAACGAGCTAAGTCGGGTGTGAGAGGTCCTGCCGTGTGTTACCCAGCTTCCCGTCCGCGTACAGAACAGCCAGCGCCCAGATCTGCGCCTGCGCGTGCTGTGGATGGCGCGACTGCAGCATGAGAGCGAGCTATAGCACAAGATACACGGCCCATCTTACCCAGCTTCCCGTCCGCGTCCAGATCAGCCAGCGCCCAGATCTGCGCCAGCGCGTGCTGCGGGAGGCGCGACTGCAGCATCAGAGCTCGCGCGGCCGCACCAGATACACGGCCCGTCTTCGCACGATCCGTCGCGTTGAACAACTGCGTGTACCTGACACCAAACCGAACAAAATGCTCAAATGTTACACTTTTATCATTAAATATAAATAAAATATACATATTGTACATATTAGAGCCAGGCTACAGCTATATTATGGTTGTACTACGGCTGAATCGTCTCAAACAAAGCGCACCTCGCGCACAGCATACCAGCGTGAAACAGCAGCTTAATGTGGCTGTTTCGTATGGTGGGTGTAGAGAACCAGATACCCTTATTACTGGTAATGAGGTACTCCATCTCATTCCCCAAGGGTAAATTCGCATCAACATTTTGAGTCTTAACTGAATAACGATGTAGATGTCTATGGGCAACAGCATTCGCTTACCATCAGGTGGACTGTAAGCTCTGGTAAGTGGACACTGTCCATAGGCATCTTACATTCATCCTTCATCAGAAAAAGATGCGTGAGGACGTTGAGAACTAAGATGGAACGCCTCCTATCTAGTAAAAGTAAAGTAAAGTAAAGTAAAGTTACAGCCTATATACGTCCCACTGCTGGGCTCAGGCCTCCCATCATTTCTGAGAGGGTTTAGGGCAAGGAAGTGTCCGCCGCGCTGCCCAAATGCGTGTTGACGAACTTCACATGTCTTCGAAATATTTTTTTTCTTATTCCTCAGACATGCAGGTTTCCTCACGATGTTTTCCTTCACCACCGAGCACGTGGTAAATCAGCACTTAAAATTGCAATTAACAATTTCATTGGTGCCGGCGGGGATCGAACCCGAGTTACTCGCGTTCTGTTATATTTACAGCGAGCGTTAATCACTGAGCTACCACGGCTCTCAATCTCAATCTATCTAGTAAAAAGGGTGTAAAAAGGGACCTCTGGACATACCAACAACACATGAGCCGTCGTTTCATACTCTCTCATACATGCCTTGTACAGGGGCAAGGGTCTATTGGTTACACCTATGGTTAATAAAAGTTTAAATTAGATTAAACGAAACTTTAAGTTTAAATAAACCGGTCTTAGCACGGTTCTTCACATTGAACAACTGCGTATATTTGCCACTCATGAAACAGAAATACTTAAGCAAAAGTTTAGTTTATGAGAGGCTATTTTCCGCAACTCCGCGTCTAAGAACATAATTTGCGTGGAGGCACGAATATCGTGATAATTCAAGCCGTACAATCGCCTAAAAGAAATCCGGTAGTCATTTGATATTGCCTACCTGAGCGATCTCCAGAGAAAGCAGGCAGATAATATCAAGCTCTTACTAAAACTCCACATTAGTTTCGCACTAAAAAATAACAACCACTGCTGTGTTGTTCCAAGACCATCAAAACATATAATGATTTGAAATATGATCGGTTATCGCTTTTTATTAACTTATTTTTAATTCACGACGTTTCCGGTGCTTTACAATACCCATGGTTACGGGGGGGGACTGAGATGTTTGACGTCCCAATGTCATAGTTAGTCCAGCTATGTTCAGTTTTTTTAATATAAATGTTTGATTCGATCTAAGCAGAACGAGCTTACAGTATCTTGAAGTCATGTAGTGGTATGCTTGGGTTTGAGTTTAATTTTGTTAATTATAGGATCTCAAGCAGATGGCAGCACCCATCCATCCTTTCTATTGAAATTAGTATGTTTTTAATTTCAATAGCCTCGCGTACATCCTTGGTAGGAATCGGTGTTATTTTGCGAAAATTTGTGGTTTATCAAATTTGATATAATGGTGGGGACCATCTTGAACATGTTCGCGGAATTCTGCAATCTGGGAATTAAAAATAAGTTAATTGAACGCGATAAAATCCGTATAAATAGTTTCATTCAATCCATCAATTCTCCTCGCAGCCATTTTACTGGTAGGTCGAGCCGATGATAGTAAGAGATGGAGAAACTCGATAGATGCAGTTGGCTCAGGACTGCGCTTTGTGGCGTTCCTTAGGGGAGGCCTATGTTCAGCAGTGGACTTGTGAAGAATCACCCCGAGAATAGAATATCTTGTTGCCAGTAAAATGGGTTTCTGGTTCTCTACACTCACCATACTAAGCAGAATTAAGCTGATATTTCAAGCTGGTACACTGCAAGAGTGTGTTTGTATGGTGAAACATATTTTATGCCAATGGTGTAATTCACACACTTGATGATATACAAATGATACAAAGTTGCTATGATATGATATAAATGATAAACGACTGCTTGATATGAATGCTTGAAGTGCACTGCTCGCCGAGTACTGGCGCGTTAAAGTGCTGTGTTATATAGACTGTTAAGTTGGCATGAAATATGTATGTTCCACCGTACAGTGGTCCTTACCAAATAAAACCGATCCATTGTTTTTGCAGTCAAAATGTTTCAGTGGCTCTACCACATAATTTTAATTAAAAACTACCAAATTACCATAAACTTACTTGAGCTTCTGGGGCTGAGGTATTCCCCACTCGACAGATGGAGGGGGCGTCAAGACTCCCATCGGAGGTTCGCTGGGGCTGCCTACCAACGAACCTGGAATTCACGTAAGTAGTATATTTTGATGACCTTACAAATTGAATCGGTTGATTCTTTAAACCTAGGATAATACCTGAGTGCTACCATTTATTTTTTATTTACATTATTTGCATAATGTGTGTACATATAAATAAAATTTGAGGGTCTGTCTGTATTGTTGAAATAATTATTTGGCGTGACTTTGACATCAAATTTATAGTTACATTGTAGTACATTTGCTTTGTATGTTTTACGAGACATATGAGCTCTTATAGAAAATCTATATAGAAAACGCAATGTACTATAAAGTACCGTGAGGAAGCCTGCATGTCTGAGAAATAAAATTTGAGGACATGTAAAGTCCGCGAACACGCACAGTAACAGTCGTTATTATAAGCGGTAAGAAATAAACATTTAATAAAGAAAACGACTTATATGCATGTATTACTATAGCTTTACTTTTTCATTTGCGGGATAGGCAGGAAGGAACTTACTAACTACTTTCGCTTCTTTTTTAGTTGATAGTTTTTGTAGGTGTCATTCAAAGTATTCATACAATCATATAGCCTCATATATTCTTGTGTCGTCCTGCGTATTATCGATATCGAAAGTGTTAGGGACTACCTGTTATAAAAATTTTAAATTTTTGCGATTATTTTTGGACTTTTGAAAATATTTTTGTGTAATATTTGCTAATGGTGTGTAAATATTTAGTAATTTGTAAATTAATTTTGGACTATTTGAAATAGCGTAGTTCCTAGTATATCGCATTTTATGCAATATTCTACCGAACTTGCATGCAAGATATCCCTATAATCGAAGGCTATCGCCATAGTTTAGTTAAATCAGTAATTACAAATACAAAATATTTTATTTTTTTAACTGAGTGTACATAAAATACAGAATATTATTTAGCAGCAATTAAAACCTAACGATGATATATAAAATTATCGTTCCGTTTTCGTGGAGACTTAGACGTGTAATTATAACGTCGATCTTTGACTTTTTACATATCAAAATGCCATAATACAATTTTCATTTTTCTGCTTGATTGTACATGCGCAGTAGACGCTGTTTAATTTCATGATTCGTGGCGCGACCTATACACTGCTGTGTTCCAGCCTAAAACGTATATAGAGCCATGTGGATGTAAAGAATATATTGATTGACTAATGAAGGTCAAGCCACGAGCATAACCGCCGTAATCTTTACCTCGCCTCTCATTCATGGCCTTTAGAACTAACAGCTTAATCTAATTACTTTCTGTATTCAAAATTATGACTACTCTTGACTGAATTCAAAGTACGAGTACTTTTTTTTATAGAATAAGGGTGACAAACGAGCACATAGTCCACTTGATGGTAAGTGGATGCTGTGGCCTATAGACATCTACATCTATCCACACTCAAAATGCAAATGCGTTGTCACCCCCGAGGACTAAGATGGAATGCCTCGTTTTCAGTAAAACAGTTCAGTTTAAAAAATTAAATTCCATTAGAAGATTTTCTCTTACCAGGTTTCGAAAAAGAGTCGCTTTTCACTGCAGTTATAGGAGTAGAAGTTACAGGCTGACTGAGGACTGAATCTGCGACAGTATTCACCCCAGTCTTAGGAGGGCTGCTGATCAACGAGCCCACTGTGGTCCCCGTTGGTAGGGGTTGAGGTTGGGATGACGGCACGAGAGGGGATGGACCAACTAGAGGTTGGGCCGCGGGAACTGTTGGTCTAGTTGGGGGGATGAGGGGTGCTGTGCTAATCAGGGGTTGTGCGACTTGGCTAGGGATCTGTTGTGGCATTGAGGGGATCAGCGGCGGAGTTGATCCGATTAATGGTTGGGATGATGGTATTAACGGCTGAGATGTGCCAGTCAATGGTTGAGATGAAGGTATTAAGGGTTGAGTTTGGCCAGTCAACGGTTGAGTGCCTCCTATCAACGGTTGGGTTCCACCTATCAAGGATTGGGTTCCACCAACCAATGGTTGGGTTCCTCCACCCAAAGGTTGAGTTCCACCGACCAATGGTTGGGTTCCACCGACCAAAGGTTGAGTTCCACCGACCAATGGTTGGGTTCCACCGACCAAAGGTTGGTTTCCACCAATCAATGGTTGGCTTCCACCGATCAATGGCTGTGCTCCACCAATCAACGGTTGGGATGCACTAATTAACGGTTGAGTTCCACCAATCAATGGTTGGGATATTAGCGGTTGAGAACTGGGAATTAAAGGCTGAGATTGGCTGATCAGGGGTTGTGAGTTAATCAACGATTGCGTTATAGGAGGGGCTGAACCAATCAAAGGTTGGCTACTCGGTACCAATGGTGGTCCAACCAATGGTTGAGTTTGGGGTGGCTTTACGCCAGATATCAAGTCAGGTACTGTAGAAGTGGGGATGGGTTTTGATGGTGGTACTAACGGTTGGACTAATGGTGTCGTCTGGGATATAGTTGGGCCTGTGTTTATGAGGGGTTGAGATCCAAAATCATCGAGTAGGGATTGGTTGTTGGAAGGCATTGGCTGGGTTGTGGTGGGAAGTCCACTGATTAGGGGTCGTTGGGGAGGCATAGTGGGCATGGGTGGTATTGGTGGCTTCGCTGGTGGGGCAATTTTATTAACACCAACTGAAAAAAAAAAAATTATATGTTGTTAATCAGGCATAACTTAGTGTAATCCTGTAGTGGCGGTGTAAGAATATCCAATATCCCTTACGGACCCGTGGGTGTCGTCAGAGGCGCATTTCCCGTCCTTTAGAACCGATTTATACTTCGACAAATACAGTAGCGAGTTAACTTGCGAACCTGGCGAGTTAAGTAGAAAATCTCGTTTGAGCGGCAATTAGCTAGTTAAGTAGCAAGTTAACAATTACGTTGAACGAGATAGCTAGCCGGTCAATTCTTCGGCAACTTAAGTTCGAAGTGTTGCCCTCCCGCGCGTCTCCCGCCACCCGCAACTAAACTCGTCGCTCGTGTGACCCTTGACCCACAATATATAAAATCATACTTTTTTAACTAAACTCGCCACTAAGACATTTGAACGCTACTGTCCACTTAACCGTTTACTGTCAACTGCCCTGTAACTAAACTCGCTACAGTACTTGTTGAAGTGTGAACCGACTATACAGTCGTAAGAGGCGACTAAGGGACATACGGAAATATCGTTTTTTAATGAATAAAGGTGACAAACGAGCACTCTATTCAATTTGCCATAGTTGCTATACTTAGTAAGCGGTGCATTAGCCGCAGTTTTTTTATTTTAAGTCATAATTAGAAAGACGCTGTTGCCCATTTCTTGATTTGTTTTCCTCTGTCGCATCTTACGACACCCACGGGATGATATGGGGGAGTGGATGTTCTTACGCCGCCACTACATGGCTTTTAATAATAATAATGTTCTCCAGACCGAATTCCGGCCACGGCGGCCTGCCTCAACGGAGACTAGCCATCGGCGCAGGACAGGATTATAGTGCGCAAGTGTATGCGCAAGCACAGGTGCACTCTCTATTCCCTTACTCTCATAATCCGATGGGACGGTAAACCGACACGACCGGAGAGAGATCAGACGCAGGAACAACGGCTTTACGTGCTTTCCGAGGCTCGGGGGTGAGACACCGCCAACTTCCTGACTCCGGGCAGCTACTGAGAATTTCTTGACGGAAAAACTCAATAATTGATTTTTGGCCCGACCCGGGATTCGAACCCAGGACCTCATGATCAGCAGTCGCACTACAACAACCGCTAGACCAATGAAGCAGTCATGCTACCACACGCTTTACATGCAAATCAAAATACAAATATGTTATCATGCCTGAAGATAACTTTACTTAGGAGTAGGATCCTTCCTTCCTGTAAGTCCGTATGGGGAGATATAATTCTTTTACCTATTTATGCTGTCAAATAGCAGTGCTTTACTGCTGTGTTCAGGCCTGAAGGGTATAGAGCCAGTATAGTTACACGCTGTGAGGCTGTGTCCTCAGAGATGACAATGTATCTGTTGCCGTCCTTGTTCGAAGTTGGCTGCAGATGTCTATGGACAGCATTAAGCACTTACCAACAAGTGGTCTTTTTTTAATTAGAATAAAGGTGACAAACGAGCACACAGTCCAACTGATGGTAAGTAGATGCTGTGTCTTATAGACATCTACATCCATAGAATAATATAATACACAATAGAATGGCTGTCAACTTTATTTTGTACGAGGATCAGCGTCAAACCCAATTCGCTGTGTTGACAGACTGAATAAATTTGCACATTTTAGATTTTTGATTAAGGTTCAAGACTATCATTAAAAAAATCGTTTAAATTTTAATGCATATTTAGTTGTAAATAGGGTGCAATTAGGCATTTTTTAAATAATTTCCATGCGAAATTTGGAAACGATTGTAAAACATCACAACACATCTCGTGCTGACATTTGTACGTGTGAATTGACGTGTTAGTGGCTACACGGGCTCCGCTCACTCCCCCGTTCTGTTGTGTATGTATAATAGTATTCTATGTCTACATCCATCATCAATTAAAAATCAAAGTGTACATGCATGCGTTGTCACCTCCGAGGAAGATAGAATGCCTCGTATCCAGTAAAAGGGGTCTCCGGTTCTCTATACTCATCATACGAAACACAGCAACATATGCTATTTTATGGTGGTAATCTGTAAGCTGTGGCAACTAACCGTCTGGGTTAGCTCTCGCTGCAAATTTCGCAGTACGCGAGGAACACGGATTCGATCTCCACCGGCACTAATGAAATTGAAAATTGCGATTTTAAGTGCCGATTTACCATATGCTCGGCGGTGAAGGAAAACATTGTGACATGCATGTCAGAGAAATAAGAAAAAAATATTTCAAAGACATGTGAAGTTCGCCAACACGCGTTGGGGCAGCGCGGCAGACATTTGCTTGCCCTAAAACCATCTTAGAAATGAGAGGAGGCCTGTAGTGGGGCACGTATATAGGCTGTAACTTTAACCGTAAATCTGTAAGGGTGTGGTCCAATACTTATTGAGCTGATCCGACACATTCATGCTGCAGAATGGTTTTACCGTATTGAAATTATATTAATATATTTTTTATCCTCTCTATTTGATTACTGCTGCACCGCCTCCATTATGTCTATATCTGTTTAGCCTAATGGTTGACTGGGAGAGAATGCCCTATGGCATTAAGTCCGCCATATGTACTACTTTGTGCATGAAAGCATAAATAAATAAATAAATTAACTTAATATCGCTTAATGCATACCATTGAAAATAAATATTACCTTGAGGGCTTAGAGAGGCAAGGAGTGACGGAGGCAGGACTTTTGGCACTTCGATGCCATGTAGCTTTAAATTAATTATCTGAAAAAAAAAGATAAGAAAATTACAGAATAAAAATAATCTTTCTTTCTCACCACTGCACCAATTTACTTTATAGCGATGCGACATTGTCCAATCACTTCCGAATTCCAAGCAGACAGGATTAACCAGCCGTTCCATACTCCACAACCCACACCCTGCCATTCAGATTCAGTCCTGACATACTCCTTAAAGACCGAATTTCTACAGCATTTATTCTACTTTCGGGCTTCTTCTGCCACACCCAACTTTCACTACCATACATTAAGGTATGGATTAACACAGTATTATTATTCTTATTGAGTCATTTTCACTTTTACCACTGGTTCGGCGAAAAAAATTTTCCTGGGAAAAACCAGCAAGAAGTCTAGCGGGACTTTCTTTCCAAGTAAATATGTACAAATAAATAAAGTTGAAGTGTCTATTTGTAACGTCAAAATAACAGCTTTTTATACATATACATACATACATACATAAACACTCACGCCTGTCACCCAGAGGGCTAGGTAGAGACTACAGACTTCCATTTGGTACGATCGTGACACACCCCTCTCGCCTCCTCCGCTTCCATATACCTATGCATACATGGTCGTCGGTTAAGGGTACTCTTTAATTTGGCTCATTTTTAATATATCGCCAAATTTTTAGCCTAGGACGTCCATAAAATCTTTTTACTATATGCATATACGGTACTTATTACAAAAACACAATTTTTAAAATATTTGTCTGTCTGTTTGTGTCGGCTAATCTCCGAAATGGCTAGACTAATTTTGTCAGAAACTTCACTGGCAGATAGCTGATGTTATAAAGATTAACTTAGGCTATTTTTATTTAAGAAAAAGAATTAAGGTTCCGCGTAAAAAAATCAAAACCCATGAAATCCAACCGTAATAAATACCACGCGGAGAACACCTCGTTTGAAAAAATCTCACCTTGCATGCAATTGAAAATTCCTGGAAGTCCAACTTTCCATCAGCGTTCAAATCAGCCAGTGACCATATCTGTCCCAGAACAGGCGGTGGGAGTTGGGACTGAAATTATAACAAATTAAAAAAGAGTTTTTATAGAATGTACGAAAATAATAAAATGGTGGGTGCTGCCAACATAAGATAGTATGGCAACACATACATAGCAGCAGAATAACGTTACAGCATGATTCAGCTCGACCAGCTTAAAGTAGGATGTCCATGATATCACAGAATACCAGCGGGTAAATTAGCATAATAATTGAGTGTTTTCTATGATGAGTATGAGGAGTGAGTGAGAACTGGAGACACTTTTTACTGGTAATGAGGCATTCCATATTAGGTGACAACCCATCTTTATTTCGATTCTTAATCGAGGATATATGTAGATGTCTATGGGCCACAATAACTACACACCATCAAGTGAACTGTGTGTTCACTTGTCACCCTTATTCTATAAAAAGCGGCCAAGAGCGTGTCGGGCCACGCTCAGTGTAGGGTTCCGTAGTTTCCCGTCCGTCCATCCATTATGTTCGCGCTCCAGCAGCGCTCCGCGCTCCTGCAACTGCTCCCGGTAGTGGGTACTGTTGTTTCCATCCAAGTTCAAAATGATTTTCCTAGAAAGTCCTTATAAAGTTCTACTTTTCAGATTTTTTTCATATTTTCTAAACTTATGGTTCAAAAGTTAGAGGGGGGGGACACATTGTTTTTTACTTTTGGAGAGATTATTTCCGAAATTATTGATTTTATCAAAAAATTATAGTAAACCCCTATTCATTTTTAAATACCTTTCCAACAATATATCACACGTTAGGGTTGAAATTAAAAAAAATCACTTCCCTCTTTACATATAGGGGGATTACCCTAATAAAACATTTTTATCCAATTTTTATTTTACCACTTTGTCGGCGTGATTGATACACATATTGGTACCAAATTTCAGCTTTCTAGTGCTAACGGTCACAGAGATTAAGCGAGGACGGACAGACGGACAGACAGACATGGCAAAACTATAAGGGTTTCTAGTTGACTACGGAACTCTAAAAAAGATGATCCTGTTACATATACCTATATGTCTATATATATACTGTAAGTGCCATGAGGAACGAAGATTTAGTAAGTGCAACAATAATCTAGTGATACATGTGACATCACATATGTTTTTCTACTTTATCGTCCTGTTAAAGACTACTGCAGGACATTTTATTTAAGGAATTAGGGTGGTAAACAAACACACCGTACTTCTGATGGATTCCGACGGATGGATGAATGTTGTGGCACATAGACATCTATATTAACCCTCAATTAAGAATGCAGATGCGCAGTCACCCCTAAGGACTAAGATGGAATCCCTCATTTCCAGTAAAAGTGTCTCCAGTTCTTTACACTCACTATAAGAACGTAGTAACGAACCATACAAAGGTATTCTGTGAGAGAGTGGTCCAACATTGGTCGATTCGACCCATTCGTACAAGTAATATATAGCTGCAGAGTGGCTCTACCATGTATTAAATATGGACATATTGGATATGGGCTCATTGTAGAATATATCTTTATCGTCACACTTGTTAGGTTTTTTTTATAGGACAGGTTGACAAATGAGCACACAGCCCACTTGATGGTAAGTGGGATTACGAATAAAAATGCAGATAAGTTGTCACCCATGAGGACCAAGATGGAATCCCTTGTTTCCAGTAAAAAGGGTCTCCGGATCTCTACACTCACCATATGAAACACAGCAGGATTAAGCTACTATTTTACGCTGGTATTCTGTGAGAGCGTGATCCTTCCCCGGTCGCGCCTATACATTCGTGCTACAACTATACTACTAATATAACTGCAGCATGGCTTTACCACGAATGAAGGTATATTAAGGATCGCAGCACCAGACGTGATCAACTGTTACACACTGCCCGTTGCCAGTCTTGGGATTAGACATGTGTAAATCATGAATGATTTGTTAGTTTGAGCTAGTACACTTAAAAGTATTGATGGTTCATCTCATCTGTTTTTAAATGTTCCCGTACAACCAATCACAAACAATTGACGGAACCTTTTTAACTCGTGATAGGTGTGAATCATGAATGAGTTGAAAACCAACCGAATCCCAAAATGATCCATCTGAATGATCGATCCGAATGTACCCATACGCGTGACGAAATGTAATAGAATGATTCGGTCACGAGAAATGAATGATTGACACATGTCTACTTGCGTTTACATCTGGCATAAACGAGATAGCGATCTCCGATAGATGGCGGTTGATTGACACAGAGAGACGTATCGTTTCGACGTAAGAGAATCCACTAGCCTAGCTTTGGGTAAAAAATATTGATATTTTCTCATAAAAATATCGATATAATCATCGTTATTTTTCAACAAAACATTAACCAACAAAAGCATTGACGTGCCGTTTTTTTATCGTCATCCAACCGTCCAGCAATAACATTTTGGCTCTTATCCACATCATACAATACATGACGATATATCGACATTTATTACACGATATATATCGATACTTTTCAATACTGTTTAAAAATATCGATACAATATATATCCATATATTTGTTTCCCTCGCCCATTCCTCCACTAGGCCATAAGATGCCGTAAGTTTCGTAAGCATCTTCCTAAAAATAACTCTAAATTATAAAAAAACTGCAGTTGCCGGCAAGCCTCTCAAACGTAGTAACTATATAGTAAATGATGCAAACTACGCGAGATGCCTATGTCAGAAATACAACAAAATTAGATTTTTGTCTTTGACACCGTTGGGGGATTTTCGGCATTGCTTGGTTGTAATTCTTGTATTTTAACCAGTTGTGTGCACCGCTTACAGACTAGGTTTTCCTAAACATTGGGAAACACAGCAAGCATTCTTCGCACTTTACCATGGGGAGTAAGCCCGTATGATAGTTTAGTTTTTTTTTTATTACTGTACATTAGTATGCTATGTTTTTTTTTATTTTAAAAAGTATATTAACAATGCTATAAACAATACTAATATTCCCCTTAACCACTCGTGGTAAGCTTAAATTGCTTGTGTTACGAGTGGTTCACGCCAGTATTCGAATAGCGGATTCGAACTCACGACCATTTTGAGTTCGCGGTCCGCGCCCTGCCATTAGGCTAATATGCAATATTACATTTAAAAAATAGTCACTAACAGTTTGTTATATTTAAAACGTAATTTCATAGCTATAATTACACTGAAATTTGTTGCTGGCACACACTCTTTAATTACTTAAATAAGAAATAGCTCTATCTTACCTGCAGCATAAATCTCTTCGCCTGTTCTCCAGTAAGTGTGCCATTTACAGGTCCAAGGGCACGAAAATGCTCACCAAACTTAGCGTTCTCATGGGGCTGAATAACCCAAGGGTCCCCCACCATTTTCCTGATAAATATACAACTCCTGTTACATAACTTATTCAAATGATATTTAAAGTTTTGAAAAGTCTACCATTAGAGAAAGAAATAATTTATTTCACCACATAATATATACATATATTTTAATTCGGTTTTTAAATAATACAATTATAGAAGTTGCCAAATATGATAAAAAGAGATTGCACAAGCATGATATTAGAAAACTTCAGCATGAATCATGGGCACTGCGTTTTGGTGTGGCTCTTTTCATCCTTTATGAATAGTTCAAGCACTGGTCTATAATCTTAATTAATTTTAGATAACAGTTAAATAGAAACCATATTTATATTAAACGATAAGAGTGACAAATAAGCACACAGTCCACCTGATGGTAAGTGGTTGCTGTGGCCCATAGACATCTACATTTAATTATTATTCCTCAATTAGGAACTAAAAAGCAGATGCATTGTCACCCTCGACTCGACTGCTACAATTTACCTTAAAACTTACATAGGTTTTTATACATGCATAAGATTTAGTTCTGCAGTAGAATGTTTTCTTAACTTACATATAGTACTAATTTCTTTAATTATCTATTTGTTTAATTAAAGAAAAATTATACAAAAAAGGTTTTTATAATTTCAAAGAATACATAAATGAAAATAACCCCTGGGAATGAGGTAATTGCCACCATGCTGGTTCTATTAAAATTCATTTAATTTGTACAAAGTTATTGTAAATTGAGATATGTTCTAATCCCGCTGGGTTTCCTGCTGGTTCTTCCCAGGACAGAGGTATTTTCCAATGGTAAGTAAAAAAAAAACAACTTTCAATAAGTATTATGTAATGATCTATATTTAATAAAAATCATTCAATTCAATTCTATTTATCAAGTGTTTATTAAAACATTATATTATAGAGATACACATTTAGTGAGGCTATCAAGGTTGAGTAGAAATTGTACTTTCATAACAATCATCATCATCATCATCATTATAGCCCTTCACAAGTCCACTGCTGAACATAGGCCTCCCTCCAAGTAATGCACAATGCTCCACAAAGCACGGTCCTGAGCCACCTGCATCCATCGACTTCCTGCATGTCTTACCAGGTCGTCACTCCATCTAGTGGGGGGTCGCCCTACACTACGCCTACCGGTACGAGGCTGCCACTCGAGAACCTTTCTTCCCCATCGGTTATCGGTTCTTCGAGCTATATGGCCGGCCCATTGCCACTTCAGCTTACTAATCCATTGGGCTATGTCGGTCACTCTGGTTTTACTGCGGATATCCTCATTTCTGAGTCTATCACGCAGTGAAACTCCGAGCATAGCCCTCTCCATAGCTCGCTGAGCGACCTTGAGCGTCCTCATACGGCCAACGGTGAAGGACCACGTCTCAGATCCGTAAGTCATCACTGGCAACACGCACTGGTTATACACTTTAGTTTTCAGAGATTGAGGTATACCTGACGAGAAGATGTGTCGTAATTTCCCGAACGCTGCCCAGCCGAGTTGAATCCGTCGATTGACCTCTCGGTCGAAGTTGGACTTACTTAGTCGGACTATTTGTCCCAGGTAAACATACTCGTCAACAACTTCGAGCATAGTGCTCCCAACAACTACCGGCATAGGTGTGACATGGACATTAAACATGATCTTTGTTTTGTCCATGTTCATCTTAAGACCTATCCGTTGGGAGACACCATTGAGGTCATTGAGCATAGTGCTAAGGTCCTCCAGCGATTCTGCCATAAGGACTACATCGTCGGCAAATCGAAGGTGAGTGATGTACTTTACTAACAATAATGTAACATTAATGTTTTAATAAAAGAAAACCAACTTCAAACAACTAAAAAGGTTAGAATTATATTTTCCACATAATAGCTCTGAAGCTAGTGCTAAGATACATAAAATAGTAACAAAAAAACCAAATTGTGTAAAAGAGAATAAGATAGAATGCAGTATACAGTGTTTCCTATGTATGGAGATTATGCATGTGATCTATAAGAAGTAAGGATTAAGAATGAAATTCATTGATTAAAATATATTTTAGTATTCACCAAAATGAAATTGAAAACTTAGAGTCTGTATAATATGTAGAACAAAATGTAAAATAATTTTTAAAACTGGTAACAATTTTATAATAAATGAACCCTACTCTTGAAACTCTGTATTCATCTCATTCTCTTTTTTTCATAGGGTGACAAACGAGCCCACAGCCCACCTGATGATAAGTGGTTGCTGTGGTCCAGACATCTACATCTATCCTCGATTACAAATCAAAATGCAGATGCATTGTCACTCATGAGGACAAAGATGGAGTGCCTCAGTTCCTGTAAAACGGGTCTCCGGTTCTCTACACTCACCATATGAAACACAGCAGCATTAAGCTGCTATTTTACGCTGGTATTCTGTGAGAGTGTGGTCCTTCCCCGGTCGAGCCAACCCATTTGTGCTACAACTATACTTCTAATATAACTGCAACATGGCTTTACCACAATGGCTCTTGAAGTTTAATTTCCTAAAGGTTTCACTTCTGCCATTTGTAAATACACTCATTTTTTTAGTATCCAATGTCAATAGGTTTGTCTTAAGGGTACACTAGTCGCTCATTCTTCCATACAAACGTAGTCTGGCGTTTACTGCGTATTACTCCACTGTTTGATGATGTACGTACAAAATAAAAAATGATTTCAATTTGTCTCATAATTATCTAGCCCTGTATGGAATCAAAATAGTAAAAAAAGATTATGTTTAAAAGTTATAAGCGTCGAAAATTCCGAATTTTAACACTATTTTTAACACATCTTTGGGCGGAAATAAATACCATAAGAAGAACGAAAATGGTACTAATATTTGTTCTGTGCAGGATTCGAAACCGCGGCCCCCAGCGCAGTATCATTGCTAAGCCACTGCGACAAGGAGCTTTCAATTGTGGTTTGAGTTTATGTTGTCATTCAAAAAAGAATCGCAATGTGTAGGTACGCGATGACGCCGTCACTTTGCGTCACTCAGGAGTGTGTATGTGTGTGCGCACTAGCTCCTTACTGCTCATCACAGCGTCTATCTCTTTCGCACGTGATGTCGGCTGAGATAGCATGCATTTTAACCCTGCCCACCATTTAGTTCGAGCTATCGACTAGGGCAACCTTAAGAAAGATTAGTACGACAAACCTATTGTCATCCCATATGTTAACATCTGGGCATGTATGTTATAGAGTGCCAAAAAAAATTGACATACATTTATACATACATTCCTTCTAGAGCAGTCAGGTACACAATTAATTACAAACCTCCTACCTTTTTAAGTTAGCTAAAAATTAAATAATTACGCAAGAAATATTACATTATTCTTAAAAGTCTAGCTATATTTTGTTGACAGGTTTTTATTGTAAAACATTTCATTTTTCCCCCTTTAATTTTTTATAAGTTTCTTAAACACACAAATGTTATATCTTTTACATCATCTAAGCCAGTGATTAATGACAATCCTATCCTATTTAGTAAGTGGTGGTGAAGTCCTAGACTGCGAAGCTCACTGGCTTTGCTTGACAATTTTTTATAGGATGCAAATTAACAGGTAACTGATGGTAACGACTACCACTGCCCGACATTAAATGCAACATCAGTAAAATTGCAGGTGTGTTGCCTACCTTTTAAAAAAGAGATTGATTGCCAATTATAAAGATATTTCAATGATTATTTTTGTATTATAGGCTATATCACATTTTTAATTGATGTTTTACTCTCGTCTGTGTTTAATCTTCATAAAGATGGTAATTCTTGACCAAAATACGATTTTTGAACATCAGCTTTATTGAATTCAAATAATGTAAGTGGACACTGCTCTGAATATAATGCCGTTCTTGATATAGAATTTGCCAAAGTAGACCCCTGAACTTAAATAATTCAGAGAAAACAGGTTTCCCGTCAATTTTTTGTTAAATAATACGCAAATACTTCTTAATAATTTGTGGTAAGTAATTATACAAGAAAATATAGATAAAATACAAGAATATTCTAATATCATGCATTGTGTTTAATTCGTATTATTATGTGACGATAAAGACGCTCTCTAACCATATAATAAAAAAAAAATTTTTAAAAATAATAATCATGAAAATTTTTAAGAATTGGAGAAAAATTTACAAAAATCCATATTTTTTATATATCTAAACTTGAATGTTACTTACGTTTCCGTGGCTTGCTGATCTTGAACAAGTATATATAACGCCCCTTTAATATATGTATAACAAATGAATAGGGCACAGAAATATATATATAATATTATAAAAGGAATAGAAATGAGTGCTTGTCCTGGTTAGATATATTGATCGGATGAAACTTGTCACTTTTATTTTGACAGACCATGACAGACTGACAGAGATGAGTTCTGGGTTCTCAACTTAAAGGATTTTCCCCTGAATTCGGGGTCTGAATAAGTTGTATGGGCATCTTTTTTTGGTGCTTTGTATTTTTACATGTATTTTTAGAGAACTTTGTATTTGTTTCCACCTTAGCTGATTTTTTTAGATGCTTACAACGATTTTCTCACCCTGTCACTCAGATTCAGTCCTAACATACTCCTTAGCAACCGCATTTCAACTGCATTTATTCTACTCTCGTGCTTCTGCCATACTCAACTTTCACTACCATATGTTAAAGTAGGGACTAATACAGCAGCACTGAATTTCCATACGTGCCTTTTTTGACACATTCTGACTTCTCACAATAGAGTGTAGAGCCCCCATTTACTTTATTTCCCGCGTTCATTCGTCATTCAATATCCTTAACATATCTCCCATCCCTGCTGAATACACATCCCAAATATACAAATTCATCTACTTGCTCGACCATATCCTCTTCTATTCTTATTTTATATATCGTTTTACTTTCTTCTCTTTCAAAAACCATAACTTTCGTCTTACTTGCATTCACTTTTATTCACATTTCTTTTAATGACCTGTACATTAATGTAACCTTCATTTGCAACTCTGTCACCGATGACGCAAGTATGACTTGATCATCGGCGTACAAAAGGCATTTGACGGTTAACTCACCCATTCTTAACCCGCATTTTTCAACTCTTATCCAGCGTATCATAGTCTTTCACAAACGTAACAACCCTTAAACTTTTCGAAGATTATATGTGGGCGATAAGAAGAATTTTATCCCACTTCTGATGTCGGAAAGTATAACACGATAAGCCAATTGTGTGGGAAATAGCAGGATAGATTTAATTATTAAAAATGATAAAAGTGTGAGTGCTGATATTCAACTTGATCTCTTGCTTGCGCAATTTATCATTATCAATAATAAGACTAATTTATATTATTAATAATAACTCTAATTATAGTTTGACCATACCGCAGTATGTCCCCATCACAATTACACACCAGTGCAATGTGAAGGACACAATTACATGATAACACCAAATTATGCAAACCAACAGCAACCTTACCCATCTCAACGTAACACAGCACAGCCTCTCAGCAACACCATCCTCCGTGCCTGCACCAGAAGAATCACCACAATGGACAGAACGACTATCTTAGCACGCGTAGAATGACTTCACTCGTGAAACGACTCAAGCGGAATGTCTCGTGCTCTGCACCTACACTGAACTTTATACTGCACAAACGAGTGGGAGGGTTTCTCGATATACCCTCAATTCCTACAAGTGACGAGATCCAACCGGCATTTTATAGATGCGCCTACAAATATTTTAATTTTCCTTACATTTCATTAACACCATGCTTACCATCTCCCAAAACTGCTCTCGGATATAAGTGGGCTTAGACATGTCTGGGGCGTAGACCCCTAGAACAAACAACTTCTTTAGGCCTACTTTCATTCGTATTCATAGCAGTCTCGGGCTTACACATTCATACTCTTTCACATATTGACCCATTCTTTTTGAAAGGATGATACCGACTCCATGGCATGCCCGCTCCGTCTCGTCTGCACCGAACAAGTACGCGGTATACATGCCATGTGTAGTGACATCCATTCCCTTCCGCTTCGTCTTATTTACACATAACACATCTGTTCCTCTATCATATATTATATCGCATACTTCATCCATATTATCATTTATTGCTCCACTTACATTCAGCGTAGCCAGACGGAGCTCCGCAATCCTCTTTTCGCCCCTCCGGAAGACAGAACGTGACGGGTGGCGAACCTCGTCGCCGGATTTCCCCCCAGAGATATATAATATGTTTATCATTCCGTCATAAATATGAATATTGGAAAATTAAATAAATTATTTTTACTTATTTCATTTCGGGTTACATGGCGAAGAAAATGGAATCAAAGAAGAGGAATTGGCTAAAATTTTGACAAAGATTGAAATAGAACCTATAGAGGACTAAGTCTCACAAAGGCTTGCTTAGTGGTGCGATTTTGTGTATTAAATATCTGCGCATTTCAACTATTAGTGGAAACGGTGAAACAAGTGCTCCGATGGTGATGTGAATTTCAAGATAGGGTGTCTGTCTGTCAGGCGCCTAACCTTGAGATACTATCATCAACTGTCTTCTAGCTCAATTTGAAATTTCAAAATCTTGGAAAGTTTGTGCAATGTGATGCATCTACGCATTATGAAGATGAATACTATAAAGGATTATTATCACTGATACTGAGATAAATGAAGACATGGAAAAATCTAAGCCAAAAATCATAATTAAATGGTGGGTGTAGCTTGCTTTGAGCTTGCTACATATTGTTACGAGCTTAGGGTTCGTGACAATAAAATCTGCCAATTAAATCACCAAAATAGACACTTAAATTACCGAACACCAATTAAAACTTGAAATACACTAATAATTAATCACACTTAATACTTTAGTTCACATTCTTTTGCTCCGAAGTCTTTGCTTGTATCGCCAATTCAATACTGCTCCGGTTGAGTTCCCAAACGCCTTTATATAGGACCTTTTCTACTGAAACATCCCGAATGTGCACATACCAATCCTAACCGACTAAGTTTAGAAAGATCCCTGCTAGTTCTGCCACTCGATACGCGATAGCGCTGGAGGTGAAAAGTTCTAGCATGGCATTTTCTAGAAAGCTCTCCTCACTTTGCTACCCGACACTAGGGGTATACGGCTCTAGGGGCATTAATTATGGCTTGCAACACTGCCCCCTCCTAAGACATGCTCGTCCCGAGCATTATCTGCCCCACAATAACGCGCCAGTCGATCCACATGGACGATCTTATGAGTACCTCGATCACATTTCGTATTCAACACGGCACAGTCCTTCCCATTCAGCTTGAAGTTTAGGAGATTTACCTTTGCTGCGGACTAGATTGTGCAACCACACTAGTGAACCTTCGTTAAACCCCTTGTTGTTCATTGTGTCATTTGCATAATCGGTTATACTGCGTGGGTCATCAGGTGTTATTTCGGTGATTAGGTCTGCAGGCAGCTGTAATTCTCTTTCAAAGTTTGCGAAAGCTTTCGTGAACAGCGCTTCGATATGACAACAAAAATGATGCTTATCTCAATCTCGTTGCCGATATTCCACAACTTTTGCTTGGTACCTCTCCAATGTCTGATTGAATCGTTCTACCATTCCATCAGATTGCGGGTGGTAAGAAGTCGTTCTTGTTTTATGAGTACCCATAACTCGGCAAGTTTCCTGGAGTATTTGAGACTCAAAATTCCTTCCTTGATCGCTGTGAATCTCTAAAGGTACTCCAAAACGACAGAAAACTTCATGAACTAGTTTATCTGCAACTGTTGAAGCTTCTTGATTTGGAATGGCGAAGACTTCTGGCCACTTAGTAAAGTAATCCATCACAACCATGAAATACTTGTTGTGCCATTTTCACTTTCCAGAAATGGCACCACAACGTTCAAATTTCAATGCACCTCTACTACGAGTCTGAGGTCCCTTTACAGCCACACAACTTGGACATTTGCATTTTGCAACACCAGTTTTCGACGTCGTCACGACAGTGGACGCAGTACAGCCGTTCTCGGATATTCAGTAGAGTTCGTTTAACTCCCAGATGGCCTCCGGAACAACAATTATGGTAGAGTATGTAAAACCAATCTTACGATTACGATGATTATGACGATGATGATGGTGACGATGTTGATGCCGATGATGATGAAGACTATGATGATGACAACGATGTTGACGATTACGATGAAGATGACGATTATGATGGTGACGATGTCGATGACGATGATGATGACGACTATGATGATGACAACGATGTTGAAGATTACGACGAAGATGAGGATGTTGACGATGACGATGGTGATGATGACGATGATGATGACAACGATGTTGAAGATTACGATGAAGATGACAATGACGATCACGACGACAATGATGATGATGATGACGATAACGATGACGATGATGATGGTGACGATGTCGATGACGATGATGATGATGACAACGATGTTGACGATTACGATGAAGATGACGACGACGACTTTGATGACGATAATAATGACAATGACGATGACGATGATGATGATGTTAACAATGTTGATGATTACGATGATGATGTCGATGATGATGGTGACGATGTCTATGACGATGATGGTCATACTATGATGATGAAAACGATGTTGAAGATTACGACGAAGGTGACGATGTCGACGATTACGATGGTGATGATGACGATGATGATGACAACGATGTTGAAGATTACGATGAAGATGACAATGACAATGATGATGACGACGATGATGATGATGTCGATGTCGATGATGATGATGATGACAATGACGATGAAGATGACGATGACGATGTCGATGACGATGACGATGACGATAATGATGACAATGGCGATGACGATGACGATGACAATGACGATGATGATGATGACAATGACGATGAGGATGATGATGATGTAATCGACGACATCGTCATCTTCGTCGTAATCTTCAACATCGTTTTCATCATCATAGTATGACCATCATCGTCATAGACATCGTCATCATCATCATCGTCACCGTCATCGGTGACGATATATATTATATACTTCTTTACATTCTGATATATATTATAAAACATCATGTCCCTGATATTATATAATAGATATTATATAAATACTTCTTTACATATTGTATACTTCTATACATTATATACTTCTATCTAGATTATATACTATTGTATATTATATATTTCTCATATATTTTATATGATCATTTACTGAATAAACTATTTTTATTTTATTATTTATTTATTATTATTAAACCAATAACTGAAAAGTTACTACTTTTTGTATTACTTTATTACAAAATCTAAACAAAAAATAAAAAACCTATTGGGCAGACAGGCCCGAATGAGTTAATTAACTTATCGATAGCTAAAGTTTTTGCGCACATCACTTCATTGTAGTACATTCGGTTGCAGTGATACCAGTTAACTTTACAAAAATTGCAAACATTTGCTACGAAGTGGCAAGTTCGATTCGACTTATTTTGACTTTGTTTTGTATAATATTTTGATAAATACTAGTTATCGATTAAATTAAATTATAATATATTCAGAATCGTGTTGGGATTGAGCTGAATATTTAAATCATTTGACAAAATCCACTACACATCTTAATGTAATGATTATTATTCATCACAAACTCATTTAGTTGATATGAAATAAATTTTCGTTAATATATTTATTTAGTGTAGTAAATTATATTTATTTTAAAATCGTTTATTTTCACTTCATGACTTATTATGCTGGCAGCACTTGGTGTTTTATGAAAATATTCAGAAAATACGAGTTTTATCGATAATATTATATTAAAAGTATTCACAGATGAAAAGTCACTTTGTCTTTTTGTAGATTTGGCAGTTTTGATTGTTTTTTGCACGAAAATACGCTGCAATTCGGCATTTTTGTCAGAGCTAAATCGACTGGAGCGATCTCTTGCGTAATTGTGTACGACGCAACGCAACTAGTTTTATATATAAAAGGTGTGAGTCGGACTCTTGGATCTTTTACAGAGGTGTATGCCTTGCAATGCCGTCTCCTTTGGTTTATTACTCAAAGCTGCTGATATGGTATTTTTAGTTTGCAATTTTCATCTGGAAGCACCGCTGCCTGTTCTACTCTACATCTACATCAAATCTACATATTTATTTATCTATGCATTGACGTTTGTTTGACAGAATGTTTATGTATGTAGGTACTGCATATATTACTCTACTCTATGCTCTATGACAGAATGACACTGACAGAGTATTGACTAGGAAGTAAATAACTACAGAATTTTTCGAACTTCGAAGTTTTAATTTAACATAAGGCTATATTTTATAATTAATATTATATAATATAATTATCACAAATAATATGACAAAAATTGCAGATAACGTTAACCCTCATATATACGAAAAGGAGTCTGAGCGCGAAATAACGTTAGAAGAACATGACGAAAACATTGTAGATGAATTTGATGAGAGAGAAATTTTCGACCTGATACGCAATATAAATGATCCAGAGCATCCGCTTACTCTTGAGGAGCTTCGTGTGGTTGAAGAAAAAAACATATCCGTTGACAATAAGGAAAACGTTGTTCATGTAAATTTCACTCCAACTATTCCTCATTGTAGTATGGCCACATTAATTGGTAAGTCCTTACGTTCTAGACGCTCGCACTGACTATAGACGCAGGAGAATATTTTTTAATTCACCTTAGTAGCTTGCTAACTACCAGTGCACTGAATAAACTATAATGTTAAATATGTTTTTTTAAGTGAAACCTATGTAAAAACACGTCATGATACCTAATATGTATATTAGTTATAAAAAGGGAATTAAGATAGAAAACCTATGTACCTATTAGTAGGGTACAGTATTACAAATAATTATGACTTAAAATTCCACAAACCTAACACATAGATGATTTTTCTGTAATATTTTATGAGTATAACTATCTGTAAAAAATAGGATAAAACAAGAACATCTAGACTGCTTTACAATTCTAAAATATTGCAGGTCTCTCAATCCGGGTCCAGTTGTTAAGAGCCCTACCCAGCCGTTTCAAAGTTACCGTCCAGGTGTCAGAAGGTACTCATGTGTCAGAACATGCAGTAAACAAGCAGCTAGCTGATAAGGAGCGAGTTGCAGCTGCATTGGAGAATAATAATCTTGTCCAGATCATCAACCAGTGTGTGGCCACGTAAAAATATTGTACTAGATCAAGGCTGCCCTGAAGGTTGGAGTGAAAATTCATGGAGATTAAATTTTTCATTAAATTAGTAATAGAACTAGGGGTAAAAATCTGCCTATGGATGAGAGAATGAAGTATGTTAAATTATCTTTGATGTGTTATAATTGTTTGAGGTGCCTTAGCTGTTATTTGTTGCAGCCTATTGAAGTCCTGCTGAATAAAGGCCTCCCCCATAGATTGCCTCATAGGGGGAATTTTGTCAAAGTTGCCACCCTTGGTAAGTGTGTTGGCAACCACAGTTTTTTATTTTTAGTCATTATTAGGAAGATGCTGCTGCCCATCTCGTGATTTGTTTTCCTCCGTTGCCTCTTACATTTCCACGGGATGGTATGGGGTAGTGGATATTCTTACAAAACCACTTGAACACAACAATTGTGAAAAAAGTATAATTCTGTTCATTTTTACAGCCTCAGATGTAATATACCCCTAATAATAATTTTCGTGCTTACAGTACAAAAATATATATATATTGTATTCAATTTTAAAAAAACACACTTGCACTGTGTATACATCCAATTTACTACATACTAGGAGAAGAAATTATGAGGTATGGGAAACGATACAATCAAAATCTACTTTCGCCCAAAAGTTTTATGGGTACAGAATAGGCAGGTTATATAATAAGGTTAATAAAAAACACTCAATTTTTCAACTAACAAAATATAAATGTAAGAAAAAATTAACAGATTGGCTTATGAAATTAGGTTACGAAGAAACAGAATTTACTGTAAAAGCGGAATAGTGAGATACATACACACACACACACATGTATATTTGTATGTGTGGTAATGTATATATGTATGTGTTTATATATATATTGTATATGTGTGTATATGTATGTATTTATATATGTGTATATATATTTATATAATATTTTGATTATATACTTTTATTATTATCATTTAAAACATATTGCATATTATATTTATTCTATATGACTTTAATTGTAAATTACACTTTGGAAATCTCATATTCGATCTCCACATGCAACGCTCACTTTATGTCTAAGTACAGTATCATCGAAAAGTATGTAATAACGCCAAGAGGGGGAGCCAGGAGACCCATAGCACAGGGTAACCTAGTTTGGGCTCCTGTCTCCCACAACTACTCAAAACTATTTATGAAACTATTGTAACTATGTAAAAAGTGGGAGAAATAAATGTTTATTATTATAATTTACTGGAATTATTTTGCAAGTTTGAATAGCTTACTAGCAACTGAAACATAGATTATTATGTCATATAAGTATATATATTTGAGACTGAAAGGTTAAACTGTGAAAATTGGCGCTTACTAATCAGTGGATGTGTTCTGGAACGACAGAAGGACAATTTCAAATTTTCTTATAAAGTTTTGCATTAATCAACATCGTCTTTTCAAATTTTTTGTTATGATTGTTCTATCCGGGTCACTTCTAAATATAAACCTAGTTTAAAATATTTTCGAATTAGATTATTGAGCTTATCACATGGCTATTTGCTGGTACGCCATAGTAAACATTTTTTCACTCCTACCTACTGCCCAGCCTACTTACCTTAGGCCATTGAATAACAAAAATAGTAGGTATATTGTTTAATGGTGTTAATGATCTCTTGGGTGATTTCGGTCGCACATATTTCTAAACTATTAACAGCTAAAGACATTTTTAAAAGGCAGTACTTGGCGGACACTTTTCTAAACCTGCCCATATTCAATTTTATGTTATATGTTCGGAGGTAAAGTTGATTGCAAAGTTTTTATAGAAGATGGAATTATAATATTAAGAATCAAATGCAGATGCATTGTCACCCCTGAAGGCTAAGGAGAAATATTTCCTTTCCAGTAAAAAGGTTCTCTACACCATACGAAACATACCAGCACACGCTGATATTATGTATGGTCGAGCAAACCCATTTGTTTCACAACCATAATATTGTTTGAGCATGACTACCACAAAGAGTTTAAAATATGTGCAACATTGAGGCTCAAACCCCTTTTATCTTTGTGTCTATGATTGTGAATGGAATTTCTAACTAATACTGTGTATCTATCTTTATCAATGGGATTTTAAATCCGGAATCAGCTTTTCAGCATTAAAAAGAGCTTTCATAATTAAGGTGTATAAAATGTTTATATTATTTTCTAATCTAATAGGCTTAAATAGTTACTGATTGTTACTAAAGGAATAAAATAAAATATTTTGTTTTAAATTGTTTTTTTTTTTATTGTATCTTGTTTCCATTTCCATTACAATAAAATACCATGATAGATCATGTTCACCGATGCTCCAAAGAGGGTTATGTTATTTGGGCGAAAGTGTACCCTGTATTGCCTGTATTGCCTACCTATATACCCTGTATGCACTGACTTCAGAATATGAAATTAAAAATAAAATAATTTTATCCTTTTTACTTCATATCCATATAATGCTGTTTTGGTGATATTGAGCAATCTGGATCTCGGTATCTATAAAGCCATAAGAGTTAGCGATTTGGACACATTAAACTTTGACTTATAATCTTCAAATCTGTTGAAGCGTAAACATGATAAATGATAAAAAATTCTCGATTAAAAGAAAACGAAAAAATCTCGTTTTGCACTTTTTTGAGTTAGATCTCTGAAACCTTATGGAATTGAACGATGATTTTAACGTAATAGATAGATAATAAAATTATATCTCAAATCGTATTATTTTTCTACCTGGTCTTCTCGTAATTAGCAATTATGTGATTTGGCGCTTGCGTTAGTTTATTCTAAGC